AACTTTAAAAAAATCACAGTGTATATGGATTAGTAGCCCAAATCTGACTTATATATTGTAAGCATTTCAGCAGCATGCTGGGTAAGATTCTTAAGTAGCATTACAAGCAATGGAAGAAATAGGGTTTTGTTTCATTGTTTTGTTTGGGTTATCAGGCACTTCTAAAGCATAAAATTGTCAAGGAAATTTCATAAATGCTATGGCTACAAATAAGTGAGTTGGTGGCCATTTGCCAGACAAAATAATCAGCAGTGACTGAATCATTTTTATTGGAGCAGAGATTATTATTTTTAAGCATCCTAAAATATGGCTTTAATCTAGCTGCATTGAAGCATTAAGAAACTTTTGCTTTTCTGTTTGGAAAGTTGTTCTGTAGGGAATCAGATCATTGTCCCAAGTTCAATACATATGACACTAGGTCATTATTGCTGACTGTCAGCATCTTGATGAGGTTTCAGGCAGGAACTAAACCTAAGAAGCTGAAGGATCCTACCTACTTTATGGGCCCCATGAGCCTCTTTGACCATGACTGACTAGCATCATTTTCTGAGAATACAATTGCATTATAGTTTATGTATAAAAGTCTTGTCCATTGAAGCACAGGTGCACTTGTTGCGTCTCAAGTTTGAACTCTTTTTTAGTCTAATGCAGGCACGGTCAAACTATGGCCCTCCAGGTGTTTTGGACTTCAACTCCCACAATTCCTAACAGCAGGTAAACTGCCTGGGATTTCTGGGAGTTGAAGTCCAAAACACCTGGCAGGCCAAAGTTTGCCCATGCCTGGTATAATGGATACATGGGTAAATAGTCAGAAGTGTGACCCACCACCTCTAGAGAAGCTACCTTCAGGAAAAGAGCATATAATTATAGATGGATGCACCACCACCCTGAGCTCAGGAAAATTAGTCTTTGGAATGGTTTAACTTCCAGAAGTCCTCATCTGTTGGATTAGGGTTTTTTTTTAATGTAACTTTTCCAAGCTTTTAAAAAGAACTTTAACCAAACAAAGGTTAAATTTTGAAAAATGCAGTTTTGTGAATATAGTACATGTCTATTTAGATGCCAATTTTCTTCTGCATTGTTGCCATTAGATGTATGAGGAAAACAGTGTACAAAAACTCATGTGAATTTTCTGTGTATATTCCCATTGTTGAAATAGGATAGAATAAACTCGTATTTCAAAAAGTTAGAAAGCTGTAAAAACTAAAGCACATCTCTACTCAGAATACAGTCATAATTATATGTGGGCAATGGGCAGGAACTGTTCCTGAGATAAAGCTTTTCAAATAAAAGTATCATAGAACAATTTATGCATGCATTCTTAACTTGCCACTTTAAAAAAAAAACAAGTTTCTTGAAAAAATTAGAAACACTCTCACAGTTCCCAGGCTTGCAGCTGTCTTTCCCAACGCACACACACCTTTGAGGACCCTACCAAGATAGAGGTTCACCACAGAAATTGCATACCCACTGTCTGTTATGTCATTTGAACTTTGTGGTTTAGTTGGGTGTAGTTTTCATTGACTGTGGTGGTACCTGCTTATCTCTTTGAAAAGGAAATAAAAGAAATGATGTGTCTGGTAAATAACAGAAGTGAGATCGCAGGTGTGTGTCCACAAGACATTTGAGAAGGTGCCAAGCAGTTGAACTAGCAGTTAACCTCCTGTAGGCTGCCTGAATGTTCTGAATGCCAACTCTTAAATCACACCGAACTCTTGCAGGAAAACCTTTCTTGGATTACATCCATAGCAAATTGCGGCACAGCAGCTTTTCTACAGTTGAGTCTTCCAAGAGAGGATTCAGAGTGTGAAACCATTACTTTATTAGAGGACAACTACCAGAATCATTCAGTCAGATGGTCCACTGGGAGTTGTAATCAGAGGAAGTAACTTTCCCATGCTTTTGTTAAGACTTTGGGGAAGGTTTGCTCAGAATGAGAGAACATGGGTAGGAGGAAAAATTGTACAGGCCTTTTACTTTGCATATATATTTCTAGGTATAATCCTTCCTGACAAGAATCTCATAAACAAATTCTTTTTTTAAAACAACAGGGTGAATTTTGAAGACTTCATAACAATGTCTGCAGTTAGTGCAAAATCTTCTGCATAGGCTTAGAGGTCTAAATTTAATTGCTATCTCCAACTACAGTAGTCCCTCTTATTATGTGAGCATGTTGTATGCAGTTTCATGTATATACTAAGACCTTTGAATATCATATAATTGCTCCGGAGAACTTAGTGATATATCGAGAAGTGTTCTCTATATGCTTCCAGCACAATTCTATGTCAACTTCTGCTTGAAGTTCTGCCAGAAGTTGCCCATAGAGGCGTACTGTAACACTTCTCTAAGCATTTTCTAGCTTCTCTGGAGAGATTCTTCAGTCAAAAGAAACCATTGTTAAGAAAAATAATGTTCCAGATTACATTAAAATCATATTATACAAAGGGTCCTGAATGGATCCCTCACATAATGTTTGGAATTACTGTGTAAAAGAGCCATTGAAATCAGTGGAATTTACATAACTGTTGATTTACCATTCAGTGGGACAATTCTGACTGAAACTGGCAAAGGATTCAGGAAAATGTCTGCTAAGGAATTTACCATATCCTTTAAACAAAATGGCCATGTGCATCACCTTGGGGACTTTTCAAAAGTTGTGCTGTCTTTGGTTCCCTCTTTGAACACAGCAAGTTCTGAAGTCTACCAGAGTGCTCAATCACTGAGTATTTTAAGCTGCAGGCAGTTGGTTGAAAACACCACCAATATTGTGGGGTGGCAGCCCATGACCAACCATGGTAATGGGATGAAGCTGGGCGCTGCCCCATGGTTTCCCCCACTATCCCCTGGCTTCTGAACCTTCATGTGATGAGATCCATAAAATATACACTTCACATTTTGAGATGGGAATGTCACATTTGGCAATATCAAGCAGTGTTTCATGGGCTGTTTTTTAGTGTTCTTTTCCTCAGTGAACTTTTTCACTTTGATGCATAATGAGGTTTTTGCACCTCACAGCCCTTATTGTAATTTATTCAATTCTTTTATTAGTTCCCCTAAATTTTGGATGACATACTTTGATTTTTCTGTTTCTGGTGAAGTCACTGTCAATTTAACGGCAACTGTGGGTGAAACTGGGCAAGAATGAAATGGCAGGAATGCTTGAGGCAGCCAGGAAGGTTGATGTGTACATTTGCCCAATAGCAGGACAGCTTCTTTGTCCATCTTTTACAAGTTTCTCTGTGTTCACTGTGATAGAAAAAGGTTGACAGTTCACATTCAAGTTTTCCATTCTAAATCGTTCTTTTGACCAGTAGCAACAACAAAAACAACTTCAGTAGCGTCATTATATTATCTGGTCCTCCTTTAAGCCAACAACTAGGCTGTGTTAATGCTTGGCAAACTTGTCTCTGCCTTTCTGATTGAACTGAATTTTTTGGGAGAGATGTAGAAGACCTTGTATTGCATTAAGGACCCATAGAAGAATAGGCTGGTAAGAGTGAACAGTTTCAACCAGTGATTCCTAACCTGTGGGCCTCCTTATGTTTTTGACATCAGCTTCCAGGAGCCCAAGACAGCTTGGCCAGCAAGAATTCTGGGAGCTAAAGTTCAAAACATCTGGAGGACCAGACTTTGAGACCCACTGGCTAGAAAATCATTTATCTACAGTTGGACTTGTCAACCCTAGAACCTCTGAACGCAATGTGGTATACAAGCCAAAGCCACAATAGATTGCTGGTACATCAGATATGACCCGCAAAGCGTGGGTTGAAGCAAATGTGCCTGTGTGCTTCCCATGCTGAGCCTTTCTTCATAACCTGCATTTCCACAGGCTCATTCTGTGCTGCTGCTTTGACCACAAGGGTGGGGCTGACCTCATGGGTCTTTCCACAAAGTCAGCATTACACTGAGAGACAGAAAGAGAAAGAGTGTGTGAACTAATTCAATGGCAAAGACCCACACAATGACAATGTCCACATGATTGTGAGTCTCTGATTGTTGCTCTGGTATTGTGGGTCAAAAGGTTGGCATGGTACCATGGGGATGTGTAAACATCACCTCAATGTCTCTAGCTTGGCAGATATGTAGTGGCTCCTCACCAGTGTGTACAAGTATGCTTGCTGTTTTCTATTAGCACTCTCAAAATAAATAGGCCACTGTAATGTTAGTATGTTATTTTGAGTGCAATGATGAAGGTAATCCTGTTGACACTGGAGTATCATGCCATAGCAACTGTCTAGATGTTTACAAGCAGTCTTACACCAAAGCATCATGCATTCAGGCTATGTCAGTGCCAGGAATGGAGCTTACAGTCTGACAATGTGTGGACACATACCCTGCAGTATGGTATGGTAAGTGTAAAAAGGTAAAGGTAAAAGTAGTCCCCTACATTAAGTCCAGTCATGTCTGACTCTGGGGTGTGGTGCTCATCTCCATTTCTAAGCCGAAGAGCCAGCGTTGTCCGTAGACACCTCCAAGGTCATGTGGCCGGCATGACTGCATGGAGCGCCGTTACCTTCCCGCCGGAGCGGTACCTATTGATTTATTCACATTTGCATGTTTTCGAACTGCTAGGTTGGCAGAAGCTAGGGCTAACAGCGGAAGCTCACGCCGCTCCCCGGAATCGAACCTGCGACCTTTCAATCAACAAGCTCAGCAGCTCAGTGCTTTAACCCACTGCGCCACCGGGGGCACAGGCATATTCCAGTTCATTTATTATCTGCAGCATTGAATTAGCAAAGGACATTAGATTCAATACTTGCCACAATATTAGAAATGCTGAAGTGTTTCCTTCCACATGATTCATTCCAAAGCCTTCTGTGATAATCTGTTGGACAGCCTTTAAGTTGACACTGCTTCCAAATCAGCATTTATGTTTTAGTCATTTAGAGAGTTGTTTTAGACAGTTATTTTAGGATTCATTTTCCATTTTTCGCTCCTAGATTGTAAAGCTCAAGGGCTAGAATGCATCATGTCTCACTTCTCCAACTTATGTTTTTCAGTCCAGCAAGGTGTCCGTTGGCCAGCCATCCCATGGCGTCCATCCACTCACTCCACTCATCCCGTACAGCAATGAGCATTTCAGCCATGGCTCCCATTCACCACACTTGCCAGCTGACATCAGCCAGAAACAAGGTAATAGTCATGCGTCTTGTGTGATGCTGGAAGATCTGGAAGTAATTTTGGAAGAGGCGTGGGTTGAAAACGTAGACTGATCATGGGCTTGTGGCCTCTCCAGCATTTAACTATATCAGTGGCTGCAAACATTCACTCTCCAGCTGTTATTTATAGCCAAATGTATCCATTTTGCCTACAATTCCAGTTGCTTTCCTGAATGTCAGAGTACATGTTGGTGCACTAATGTACTTGGCAGAGACTTCAGACTGCTTCTCTGTGTGTTTTAATTGCAGCTGCATTAGGAGGAGCCATTACAGGCAAAGAACAGTAATAGGAATACTTAACTCCCTCATTTCCCACTCCAGCTTGCCCCCAGTTTGTAGTTTTTTTGCCCAGAGAGTAAAAATGACAATTTGCAAAGACATATACGTTTTTATTTCATGAGGCGGAAGTTGACAGCAGGGTAATTGGGAGCAGAGGCCCTGCATGTGGAAAACTGTTACATTCCTGTTGCTTTTTATTCCAAATCTCAATCTTTCTCTCTCTCTTCATCACCTACACACCTCTTTTTATTCTGTTTATTTCTTCAAAACAATACTGCACTAATATGTGCGGTTAAATATAATACGTACCCTTCAATGCATGTTTGGATATAATATATATAATATAATATGCAGCTGTACTCAAGCACCCCTAAAGGCTTCAGGATAAGTGTTTGTCCACACAGATAAAACAGTGTTGGGAAAGCACTGGGAAGCCAACCTAAGTTTAGTTATATTTTTGGTAAAGCACCGATCTTGGAAATGTTTTCCTTTTAGATGACAGTTTCCAGAATCTCCCAAACCAATTTGATCCATATTCAAGGTACCTTGGGAGATCTGAGAATTGTCACTACCCAAAGGAACTTTGTCAATCTGTGCACAATTATGATGCTATGCATAACCCAAGCCTCAATTTATTGCAGTACGACAAAGCTGACCATGATAAATTGACAATCAAAGATTAACTCCTCAACCTGGGAGTTTTTCTGGTCTCTCTTACCAAACTACAAATCCCAGGATTCTGTAGGATGCAGCCATGGCATTTAAACAGGAATCCTCGCATTATAACTGTGTCATATGAAAGAGCATTAGCTATAGATTTGGGGGTGGTGTTCCTTGCTCTACCTGAGGGCTAGTAGTTGAGAACCAGGTGGTTATGTTTTCCCATGCTTTTAGGAAAGGGCAAAGGAAGGAACTCTCCCAGAATGATGTTTTTAAGCAAGTCATTAGCTTAAAAATAAAATAAAAATAAAACATTGGGGATCATAATCATGCATCTCTTGAATGATCTTGTGATTATTGTAGGTTCATAGGAAAATTGTATTTAATGCAATCACTTCAGTAGTGAAGAATATTATCACACAGTGTTAAGGCGTGCCCTTAAACTGTCTGTCTAGACAAGGCTGGGGCCAAAAGCATTTCCTTTTCACTTCAGGGCAGTTTTCAAAAACCATTGAAACAAGTGAGAAATATGCCCCAGTAGTATTCAGTTTGTTGTGAATAATTTTCCTTTCATAGATCTGTAATTCAGATCTTTCTTTATTGTTTTGAATAATTAAAATAATACAGAGTTCAGAAAAGCTGCCTTTTTCCGCAGCCACCTCCCTTAATCTCCTAAACCAGTATGGGTACTCCTTGCTGGAAGATTATAATCTGGGGGTAATAATCCCAAAAAGTAACTTTTCTGATTTCTAATATAAACTAACAAATCTTTAAGCTTTCCAGTGTACATTTGTTTCCTGATTTTACTTGCCTTTTTCTCAGATGTCACATCAGATGGTGGCAGTTAACACATTAGATAAAGAAACCATGCAATTTATTTATACTGATTTATAAGTCTGTTTCCCACATACATGGCTCTAATGTCAGTGAATTGGATTATATGTGGATTATTTACAGGTGGGGGCAGCGATTGTGGTGGAAAGAGGCAAGAGCAGGCCAGGCCAGAGGCCATTGGGGCAGCAGAGGTGGCACCATACTGTCTTCTCCTCCTGTGTGTCTCTGTTTCACCTGGGAAATGCCAATGATGCCACTGGCTGGGGCATGTGAGGCAGAGCTATTTGGGGAGCATTGTCACATCCCACTGCAGGATGAGCCCTGGACCCCTGCCACTGTCTTCATGAAGATGCCTCCACCTGGAGATGCTCCTTTCATGCAGGAGGAGGGAGAAGATAAGGAAGTACAGCAGATAATGAAGAGATGCAGCTCCAGGATAGGGTGCAGCAATAGCAGCTAGATGTGGGTACCTCCTTGTGAAGAAGGGCCTTTGATGGTGCAGCGGCAACTCCTGCAGCCCATATAGCAAGCAAGGAAAGATGAGAAGACAGGCAAGAACAGGTGGGAGAGACAATTGAGCGTGGCACGGCTCATTCCTCTTTGCACAGTGCAATTGCCCTATCAAGGAAAAAAAACAGTGAGGGGACTATTAGTTGAAGGCAGACCCCCTCTCACCAATTTGTGGCAGGCCAACATAGCTGTAAGCTCTGGGCACGGTTTGAGGAGGCACTGTCAGATCAGGGGAAGGAAAGTGAAGCTGCCCCGTGGGGTAGTTGCGTTTTCTTTGTTGCCCCATCACCCCAGGAAAGGAAAATGAAGAGGCTCGCCACCCAGAAAAAGTCATCTTCTTAGTCAAGAACCTACCTTCTGCAGGCCTGTTTGCTCCTTTCTTGTGCCCATCTGCTGACTTAGCCCAAGCATGTAAGTGAGTACAGGAGAGACAAAGAGAGCCAGCAAACATGTTACAATGGGGGGGGGGGGGGTTAAGATACTGCCTTTTTTTCCATTTTCATAGGGCTCCTGCTCTCCTAATACCCATAAATGTCAACACCCAACTGTATTATTTCTTATTTGAAACTCCCTATTTGGAAAAGAGGAAGTGGCAGTGGTGATGGTAATGACAAACCTGTGTTATTCATAGTCATAATTTATCCAGAACTTAGTCATAAATTACTGGTAATCCCCAAAGCACTGTTTTCACTTGCATCTGAAGTTGTATTATGGTCTACATTTGTGTTGACCTCAACTCTGAAGTTCTCACATTTGTCTCCTCAGAACTAATTGAAATAATGAGGGTTGATGGTAGTGTTCTCACACACTTGCTGCAACTAGAGATGTCTGCAGCACATCATTCAACAGACTTCTCATCCACAAACTTCAGAAATGTTACCTTGCAACAACAATCCCCAGCACAAATGAGTGTTCTGGAAGTTGTAGTTGACAAAGTAACTTCTCCAAGTGTTTCTCTTCTTATTTATTTATTTATTTATTTATTTAAAACATTTATATCCCATCCTTCTCAACCTCTGAAGAGGGACTCAGGACAGCTTCCAGCAGGCAACCATTCAATGCCAACTGCAATATAAAACATAATAAAATACAACCATATACATTAAAACAGTTATAAATATACATTATTGTGTACATTTATAACAGACATTGTATTATGATTCCATATAGAGAGTGATTATGGCTTAGATCCAAGTCTTCTTCCAGTGACAAAAAGCAGGTTCCAAAAGAACACCACATGAGAAAAGTGTCCTCAGATCAAAAATTTCCCCATTTGAACAATATGTTTTGCAAATTAGTTTCTAAATGTCTTTTTGTTGCCCATTGAAATTAAATGCAGCAGCCTGTGTTTCTTGTACTGTGTTGCAGCATTTCAATGTAATATGTTTGCTGTTGTTAGGGAAAACTTATGCAGTGGTTGTAGAAAGCTCACTGATGCATGCTGCTGCTCAGTTTTTCACTCCAAACCTTTGATATGAATGTGTTTTCAAATAAACGATTCTCAATTTGCATACTGCTTGACCTTCCTTCCTTCTAGGACATTTGTACCTGTTCTCAGATATCTGAGAACAAACATACCTTGAGAAATATAAAAGATGTTCAATGTATTGTCAAAGGCTTTCATGGCCGGAATCACTGGGTTGTTGTAGGTTTTTCGGGTTGTATGTGTTATAATCAGGAGAGAATGCTTCTAGAACATGGCCATACAACCCGAAAAACCTAAAACAACCCATAAAAGATGTTTTTACATGTAGTATTTCTCCTTCTGATTCTCTGGAGTAGCTTCTTCTTGTTGTTATGGTTTTGTAATTACTGTTGTTGTGTCCCTTCAAATTATTTCCAACTTACAGCCTTCCTCTAAGGCTGAGAGAGGGTGACTTGCCAAAATCTATCCTGTGAGTTTCCATGGCTGAGATGGGGATTCAGACCCTGAACTCCAAGGTTATAGTCTAATGCTCAAATACATCATGCAGACTCTCACTTTTTTTAATGTCATAGTGATTCAGAAACAACTTCCACAGTCTGAAACACCCACAATCCCAAGCTCCTAAACAGTAAGAAAGCAAAATACATTCAATATGTTGCCAAATATTTGGATGATACAGAAACGAGTAACAAATTGGAAGTGTGGTGATGTCTTAACGCCCAAGAGTATTTTATTGTGGTATAACTATTTAATACGAATGCAGTTTTTTCTGAGGATGTTTGTAAGGTCTCAGGAGATTTTTTTTCTCTTCTGGGCTCCATCAACTGAAAGCACTTTTGGCACATCTCTTAAATTGCCTACCAGCTTCCAGAATAAATTGAGCCCAAAAGAGCAAAAATAAAATAAAATCAAGCAAGCTATTACGAGTTAACAAATTGTAACCTACACAAAATTCTGCTCAGGGCAAGCATCCAAGTCTGTCAGGAAGTGGTATATGAGGAAAGTTCAAATCCTGTTTGGCTCTTCGGGGAATATAGCAACAAAGTACCTTATATTCAGCTGCCTTGAACATGCCCACAGAAGAGTCCCATGACTCTCTGAAAGGCTTTGAAAGTGTGTGAGCATACCTCAGAGACTGCTTCCCAGAACGCAATACTACAAAACAAGCCCCTAGCCTTAGGAGGGATGGCTCCCCAGTTCCATGCAATCGCTGGAGTTAAAATTATGGCTGGTACAGTTGATTGTACCACTGTATGATTCTTCAAAATTCTGACAGACTGGACTTGCACCAAAGTCAGTTCACAGCATCCTTTATGTGCCAAGGCTGCTAGTGTAAGAAAAGTAATTCACTTTCACAGACTGATTTTTTTTAAGAACGGGAGGAGCCATTTCCCTGCTTTTCTTTCCAGCCAATGGATAAAATTGGGTTGTGGGAATTTTTTAGAGGCTTAGGCATTTGCTTCCAATACTATGGCTTCATTCATGTGAGGTGCCTGTGGGAATCTTCCATAACTGGATATCACAAGTGGGAAACCCACATCTGAGTGGGAAACCCAAATCTGGAACATGTCTCTGGATGTGGCCAGTTTGTAACATCTCTTCCAGATTATGATGACTCTTCTCTTTTAGGTGAAGTATGGAAAGGAAGCTGGTGTGTTCACCTTTTTTGAATGCTTCTTTGGGTGGATTGAAAAATCATGTTGATGTACCTTAAAGCTGATATTAGCTTAGATTTTCTTATGTTCTGATTCTCTTAAAGGTGTCCACCGCCCTTCTCAAACGTCAGATATTTCTGGTTTCTATTCCCTCCCTGCCAGTGGGGTTGGACAGATAACACCTTCTATGGGATGGTAAGTATTTGAGCCTATAATAGAAAAAAGCAGGGGGGGGGGGATCCACTGAACTTGTCCAAATTGCATTAAATGAGCGACAATCCCACTCTCCAGAACTCTTGAAATTGCACATACACACTTTTCAGCACATATTTCAGGACACCATAACTTTTCTACACTATTGAAGTGTGATGTATTAAGTGAGATGCTGGTTCTCTCTCCTGCTCTCCTACATTGATCAGGGAACTGTGGTGTTGAAACCTGACATAGACTTCTTTAATGACTGAACCCTATGCTGTCATTTTGAAATATTAAGACTGAGGAAGTGCAGAATAGAAGACTGAGTTTAGATTCTTCCCTCTAAAGCAAGAACATTCACACCCAAATGCATATCAGCAAGAGCAGTGCTGCATTGTTTCCTCTATATGAAAATCTGCCTGAAACATACAGTTATATGTAAGGATTCTCATTCTTTAACAATGGCAAATAGTTTATCCAACAGGAGTTTGAATTCATATGCAAGAAGACAGGTCTAAAGAGACATAGATAGATGATAGATAGATAGATAGATAGATAGATAGATAGATATTGTACAGCACATTGTCATTATGATTGAGGGGTGAGGGAATGGATGTATTATTACCTTACATCGTGTACTGTTGGCAAGTTATTTTTCCTTCATGAGCCTGTCAAAGAACAGTGTTCCTCTCTTTAATAGGGATCTCTGCCATAGCCGGCAAAACTATGTGAGTGTATACACCATATAATTAGATACCAAATTCAGTGTTGTAGCTTCATGTAATGGAAACCTGGAATTTGAAGTTTGTTCGAGTATTTGGTATATTATCTTCTGAATAATAGCAGAGCATTAGGTATAATACATGACAAAACTATATGTGTCAAGATGGCCAATGATAAACACAATTCAAAGTGCCATGAAGTTGATATAATGAGGTGCTGTAGTTAAACTCATAGATATGAGTTTAACTACAGCACACCATTATATCATTTTCCCTATGGAAAATGCAAAACCAAAACAAAACAAACCAAAATGCAGATAAGTAAATATTTGTTTACGAATTGATGTTTTTTGGATTTATTCATGACAAAATAAGATATCCAGACCTTTAGATTTTTTTTTCTTGTTTGGGCTTTTCCTTTGTCAATGTGGCATCTGTCCTAAACTTGCTATATCTTGAGTGATAATTATCTACTAACTCAACACACACATGTCATTTAATGAGGACAGGAGGACCTGTGGCTCCAAAAATAGCTAGAGAAAGAGAAGTAGTATACCAAATGTACACCCTGCTTCAGCTAAGGAAATCATAAGTGGGAGGCAGGAGAGCAGTTTGTTTCTTGATTTCATGATAATGACATTTTTCTTTGGCATGTTTTTTGTTTATCCAATAATGAGAAAGATTAGCTCAAATACTTTGCCAGATGGAAACTTTGGGCCATCCTTTCTCAACCAGTTATCTTCTGTATTGGACTATAGGTTGCCTTGGAACATGGATCACAAAATAGACTCTTCCCTATAAGTAGCACAAAGCATTTCTTCATTTTTGAAAATTCAGTTTTTATTATCTTAAACCCCACTTAGATATTATGTGTTTTGATTTCAGCAAGACTGAGCCTCAGTCTAGGTGCAAGTTTGTGTTGCTCTTGTTGTGACATTTAAGTCCTGTCTTTCTTCTAGTGAGTTTAAGGCAGTCAATGTGACTCCATTCCTTCCCACTTTATCGTCACAGCTACCCTACGAAAGAAAGGAAGAAAGAAAATAGTCCAAGGTCAGCCATGAGTTTCACAGCTCAGTGAGTGCCAGAACATGGATCCCATTTGCCACTTTAACTTCCACACCATCCTGTCCTCCATAAACACACTTTTACATCAGAACTTGGAACAGTTGTTTTGGTCATGCTGGCTGGGGAACTTGGGGAGTTGTCAACTTCCCACACACCATCTTTCCTTGTTCTGTGCCATGACTGCCAAACAGGTGGCATTCCATGGCATATTCAAGTGTCAGTTAACCTTACACCTGTATGTCTCTTTTTGATTGTTGCAGGGATTGGAATTCTCTTTCTCACTCTGCACTAATCAAAGGCACAAGCACAACCAGCATACTGTAAGGCTGCTGAAGCTTAGATACAGCAATCCTGTGTCTAGTGGAATGCACTAGAAATAGAAAAGATTGAATCATCTGCCAAGACTTCTGAAAGACTTGGGTGGACTTGATGGTCCTCCGTTGACGTAATCTTTGTGTCTGGCGACAACAGTGGCTCTCATCCTGTGGGTCCCCAGACATTTTGGCCTTTAACTCCCAGAAATCCTAACAGCTGGTAAAGTGGCTGGGATTTCTGGGAGTTGTAGGCCAACCTGGGGACCCACAGAATGAGAACCACTGGGCTACAAGAATATAGCCAGATATGTACTTCTGTGGTCCCTCATCACTCCCACCAAGCACAAAACAGCCAGAGGGATAACATTACTCTACAGTAGGTACAGGGGGCGAGGAAAGTTCAGCTGAAATATACTCTATTCTTTTCAATGTAATGCTCACCTTTTTGTGGCTAAATTACCTCACCAAAATTAGGGTGCACATTAATTCACATAATATGGTAATCTTAGTGCTGGACCAAAGCAAAAGGAGAAGCTGCTTCAGGAGCACGTGGAGTTCCTATTTGAGGGATGCCATCTCTAATTTAATGGCCATGGCTGAAAGTTGTGCAATCCTGGGCTGTGTATTTTGGTGAGACACCAGCTTTCTTTGGCAGAGAAGGCTCAAGACCTTGTAAAACTACAGCCCGCATGACTCCACAGCATTGAGTCTGGGCAGTTAAAATGGATTCATTCTACAGCATAGGTGCACCACAAGCTTTTCTTTTCCATTCCTGGAAGGTTTGGTGTTCTATAACAAAATTGTTTATTACAAAGGACTTATAAGCAGGCAGCCACTGTAATGCACACCCTTTTTGGCCAGATTACAAAGAGTGTACTTTTTACCACTGCTCATTAGATTCAGCAGCAAATACTTTTTTTGGTTTCAGGGTTTTGAAAATTGAGGTACGCATTAGATTCGTTAACACATTAGACTTGAGTAAATATGGTAGTTCTGAATGCACAACTACTACGATGTGCTGGAGCATATTTCAAGATTATAAATGCACTCCTGTTTTAGAGGCGGAGGTAAACAGGCATGTAGTTCATACTGTACAATAATTGTATGGGGGGGGGGGTCTTACACATAGATTTTATAACCAATCTTCACTACTCCACATTGGTCAAACAGATGAGGATATATGGATATAAATCAGACAATAGGAATGAGAATACACAAAAACAAGTTTCAGGATACTTCCTGGCTATTCCATCAAAACAGCAGTTCTTGAATTTTAAAAAAAAACTACAAAGGAAGATTGGAATTACAAAAGAAGATTGGGAAGATAAACAGCAGATTTGGAATATAGCCACAAACTACAGTTCTTTGACAGTGGATTGAATAGAGAGAATAGTTTCCTGATATAGTCCACATTTTATAACATCCCAGCCTCTTGAGGGCCTCCTAGGCCAGTTTATCACATCTCCATTCTGACATCACGCTACACTCCAATAACATCCCCCACCATTCATATGTTTATCCACTCACCATGGATATAGGCAATATCTCTCCTTCCTGCCTTTGTATCACAACAACTATATCACCTCATCACCATACCCACAACTTTTGCATACATACAACTTGTTCATAAAGGTCTGTTCCTTGACACCTAATTCCTTCCATCTGATGAAGCATAAATCTATAAAAGTTTATGCTGCCAATTATTTCTCTCAGTCTTACAGCTGCTAAAAGATCCCTTTGCATACTGAACCAAGAGCAGTGTTTCAGAAACCGCAAGATGTGCTATTACCATACACCTTATGATCCATACACACACACCCAATTCTCCTCTGATGGATTAGAGACTTTATGTGTGCCAAACAACTGGACCAGTACCTCCAAAATTAGACTGTCATTCTCAGATTTGTGATGGTAGACATTATCACATTACCAGTTCTGAAATAAAACTCTGCTCCCAGTCCAGCTTGTGGTATGTGGTGGGGTCCATCTTGATCTCTGCTTTCAACAGCAAGATGTCTTGGACTAACCTTCGATTGCAGTTTTGTAATCCTTGTTAGTCCAAGCTTTGTCCGTTTGTTCTTTGAGGGGGGAAGGACTTTATCCTATCTGGGATCCATGCTTTTGTGTTTCAGTTTTATGCTATCTGCTCTCAAATACCTTCCAGAGGCAAGCATAATGGGTGTCCTCTGGAGAATTAATCCAAAGATAATTTATTTTTCCTTCTGCCACCCTTTGCAGAGGGTTTAGAACTGTAGTAGGTTGAAATTTTCTTGGGAGAGGAAAAGGAAGAGGTGCCTTCAGAGTCCTCCACCTTTCCCTTAACCTATTCTGTAATGCTCAAAGTTTTCATAAGATTCACTGTTGTGGAATGAGGCTGACTTCAAACACCAAGCTGTCTCAATACAGGAAGCAGCTTTTCCTTAGCAAGTGGCCTTGTAAGAAAGTGCTCGGCAGGAAAAGCCTCTGTGGCTGCCAAGTATTTTGGAGAAGAAGCCCTGCAATACATCTCCCTTTAATTAGATGGAATGACAGTCAAGGGATATAAAAATGACTTACAGTCCAGTCTGGTGAGCTTGATCCCTGAAGCTTAGCAGCTAACACACCTTCCCCTAAATGCCTTGTAAACAGTGTAGTTTGCATAATATGGGCTGGGTAACAGCCTTGGTTATGCCTCTTTGTTATTTTTCTTCCTGGCACCAAGGCATAGCTTAGTGTCTGGGGCCTCGGGGTCAAGAAGTAAAGATGGGCACCCTGTGTGCTGCTGCTAGCACTTTCTTGCATGTTAGGATAGAGATTGTGAAGAGTGGCTGCCAAGTGGCAGTAGTAGTAATATGGAATTGTGCCCATACTACCACTATTCCCTTTGGCCCAGCTGCCAGGCACTGCATTGGGTTATATTGGTAGCTTCAAGGGTAATAGTAAATCTACTTTCATGAGGTAATAAACACCAGAGAGATGGTCCAGCTTCATTTCACATATTCAGAAATCATGGATCCTTTTGACAGTGAATTCATTTCCATGTCAGACACATTTTGGTGGGAAAACATGACTGTTGTGCTTTTTCCTTTTAATATTGTTATTATTATTGGAATGTCTTGGCATATAGAGTAATGAATGGCACTTGGGAATTGGTTTTGACTATATTTTCACCCCAAGGCCCTACTTCAAAGCCTGTTTAGGTTTCTGGACAAATTGTAGCACTTGGCTGGTTTTTAGCATAATTTATATGGAGTCCAAAGTGCTCCACTGTGTTTTTCTGTTTTGCACATTTTTAAGCAGATGGAATTAAGTCTGTAGCAACAGTAACAGTTGCAGAAAAGCCAAACGTGTTAACTGTAGTAGAATTTGCTCATAAGCACTTTTCTATTGCTTGCATTCCCGGATTGTTTTACTGTGACTCCAGGAATCTCTTACTATTGTTTTTTATCTAGCATCTGATCCCAGATTATCTGCTTTGAACTGGGTTATATGAGTCTACACTGTTACCTTGAGCTCAAAGCAGATAATCTGGGATCAGAAAACGAATTATGTGACAATGTAGATGGGGCCTCAGAGTCTATAGTTGATGATAAGGGATATAATGAGAGTTGAAGGTCAGCTAGTAAAAGTTGCTCAGTTTGATCTAAAGGTTCTAATTTCTTATCAAGCCAGTTTTCAACTACAGAGAGTTTTCTTTTCTATATTATTCTTCCAGTTCATTCTTTGTTTATATTATCAAGTGAAAATAGTTATGTCACAGCAATTTTTGAAATATTTTCATGACAACAAGGCTTCTCCTTTTAAAGGAAAACTTTAAAGGAAAACTTGTCTTGAGCAAGTCTTCCTTCACCTGACAAAAAATAAACTCCGATAACCTCTTAACTTGTGGCTCACGTGCCTCGCTTTCTAGGTACTTGAAAAATGTTCCTGTAACTGCTGAGAAGAAACTGAAATGTGTTAATTTAAATGTAATTTCAAATTTCACAGTTTCAAACTATTGTCTTACATGTTGTTGAAGGCTTTGTTGGGCGGAAGCAATGGGTGGCTGTGAGGTTTCCAGACTGTATGGCCATGTTGAGGAAGCATTCTCTCCTGATTTTTGCCCACATCTATGGCAGGCATCCTCAGAGGTTGAGGGGTTGAGGATAGAGGACGCCTGCCATAGATGTGGGCAAAACATGAGGCGAGAATGCTTCCTCAACATGGCCATACAGCTCAGAAAACTCACAGCAACCTATTGCCTTATACTTTAGTATGTCAGGGCATGCATAGACAGTGCCCAATAAGGAACATATCATCTATTGCAGAGATACTACCATTGCATTCCTCATTAGCTCATGGGATAAATATTTTAAGCATGTTTGTATGTGTGTGTTCAAAGGCCCCTAACTCATATGTAATCCAGCCTGCACTGCAAGGCTGATTTGCAAGTTATATTTCCAGCCTTAATATTACAACCTCCTCCAGCCTGATTCTCCCCAGATGGTTTGAGCTACCATCCCCTTCATTCTTAACCATGGGCCACACCGGACTGAGGCTTGTGGCAGTTGAAACTTAAAATACCTGGAAGGCAACCAGTGAGAGAAGGTTATGATAATGTAATCAAGAAAGATAGAAGGTAAAATGATTTGAGTGGAAATTCACTACAATAAATCAGGCACTTTCAGAACCACCAGTAATTGAAAGCTCAAAATCCAAAGTTGGGACAGAAACCCGGGTATATAAGAGAAGCTTCTCCTCTCCCTCAAATATAAGTCTTTGGCTTTTGCCAGATATGAGTCCACTGGATAAGGGTGTGCAGGAAAAACCACATGGATGTAGATGCTTTATGGACTCTTTCTTCCTGCTCCCAGGCAAAGCCAGCCTGTCTGTCCTTTCCAGTCATGTGGATTTAGACAGCCCTATACATCGGCGCTCTCAGCTGGGGCTACTTTCTCTAGGTAAGTATGAGCTGCTGCCTAAGCCAGGAGAAAACTGCTCTGCTTCTTCTTTCGCAGTCCAAGTACTGCAAGCTTTCAGTGTCTAAGGAGAGGCTCTCTGGCTTCCTTCTGGGTGGCAGCAATAGGGAAGGAAATCTACAGTTTTCAACATATGTTGTTTGCTTCTTTTTTTAAAAAAAAGTAACAAGCTTCCAGCAAAAAGAACACAGTGTTGACTTTGGTCAACAAGAGCAGGGGGCAAGAGAGAGAACCCGCATGAAGATGCTGCAGAGGCTGTCTTCCTGTGAGCACCCACACACTTCAGTCTGACACTCCCATTTGCCTCTTTATTTCATTATGGCTGGAGACAGAAGTAGCTTTTGAGAGAGCTGAAAGTGCTTTGATGTGAGATTTTTGTCTCCCATCGTGCAACAAGAACTGTTGTCTCTTATTTAACAGGGTGGATTTGTTTGTGTTTATGGGTTTTTTTAAAAAACTCTTCAAACTTTCAAATCAATGCAAAAACAAAACTGGGAAACTTTTGTTTTTTCATACTTGTACTCACAGAATCCTCCAGTCAATATGGCCCAAGAGAATTACTTTTTGAAGTTGTGTACAATTTCTCAAAGGGCATTTCCTAGGGATGCAAGAATGAGGATGAATGCTGGCCTCAGGAGTCCTTCCTTCATAGTGCTTTCAGCTCTCTCGTTCTCACCAAAATAAATAAATGAAAATGAAAAATAAAATATTCCACTTTTTTTCTTTGAAACAGGATGCATAAATTCACACAAGACCTGAGAAATGGACACCCATATTACTATAACGGTGATCCACAAATCACAAGGGGAGAATTGTGTCGTGTTTTATATTAAACCAGAGAACCAGATCGGTGGAGACCATCACAGCCTTGTTTCAGCTCAGTGTTACTAGTTTGCCTGTGTGGAACAGATCGTAGCACAAGTCTGGATGCACCACAACACAAAACAGTAGTTATCTTCTATGAGCCATTTCTCCAGGAGAGCATACTACAATGTCCCATGCCACACTTTAATAAAGAAAAACATGAACTTGCATTCATAAGATGCCCGTTGTTTCCCATTGGCATAACAAAATCTGGCCAGTTAGCATGGAGTTAAACACTCAAACAAATGTTTCCTAAAGACTGTGCAGAACTTTTTGAGGCAACTGGAACCAGCTTCCTTCCTTTCTTTTTCACCAGATGAGACCTAATGAAAGAGCATATATGTGCAAACGCCGTTTGTTGCATTTCTGGCTTTGGCTTCTGCTGTGTGTTGTCCTAAGTACTGAACCTGTCCCTTGATGAAGACATTTTGGGATTGGTTCCTGAGACATTAGTGGAGGGGGAAAGCACATTATTAAAACTATTATAGTCTTACTGTTGTTACGCTAAGTGTTCAGTCTGCCTGGAGCACCTACTCCTTGTCTGAGACTTATTATTTAAGATAAATGACTTTATAGACCTCCTTGATTGCCAAATGGTTTCATCCTTCATCATACAGGCATTGCTACTTGTGGAGGAGAAAGAGGCAGGTTTTGCAGACAAAAACGCACACTTTGCCAGATAAGCATCAAGCTTTAAGTCAAGCCGGTAGATTAACATCAAGCATTGTTTCTTTTTGTGCCAACAGAGCTAATGAACACTTGGTTGTCTTCCATAGGCAAATCTCTTTCTCTCAAGCTTGGTAAATTGGCAGCATCATTCTTATTTACTGAAAGTATTTTCAATGATGGCTGTATAAAAAATTAATCTTCAGGGCTTAATTAATAATTGCCGTGATCAGTGATCCTGTTTGTAATCAGAATTTCTCAAGAAAGGAAAAAAGTTGTTCTATTTGTTTCTAGAGATGTGATCATCTATGTGGGCTGGTATATCATACCAAAGTTGGGCTGTTTTGCACAGAGTTCACAAGATAAAATTCTTGTCCTGGTTCTAATGGGTTTCACCACGCTTCACTGTTATTAGTATTATGGATTATAATTTAACAAAAGCAATGTGTATTGCCTCCCACATCAAAAAAAATATCCCCACAATTTAAAAATAGAGTCTGCAAAATGTTCATGCTTTTTTTTTTTCCTTTGGAAATGAAATCTGATGGGTGTGCAGAGAACTGTTAAGTACAGCTCTTTAAGTTTAATCAAACACCAAATTAAGGCCTGCAGCCCTTATTTAACTACAGGCACTGGTAAAGAGAAGAAGCTGAGTCAGGCTTGGCATTGCCTGACTCAGCATTGGCATAGGCTTCACCAAGAGTAGTCTTGGCTGTCCTTAGTTCACTAAGAATGCTTTGCATACAGAATGTCAGGATAATCTAAGATACTGAATTATAGAATGAAGTTTGGTTTGCCAGCTGTGAATATTATCAGGAAAAACATTTCAAAGAGCGCCACCTAGCGGGCATATGACCGTAACGCTTGCTGATCTGTATTTTAGGAATTGTTATCTCACATTTAGCTTTTCCATCTCATGCAAACTGTGCCTGCTACTGAATAGTCTTCAATATGGTCCACCCTGCTACATTGGAACCACGTCCATTTGCAATACCAATCCAAAAGGTCTGTATTATATGTGTTGTGTTACAGGATCACACATCCCTTGATGCTTGGCTCTGGAATGCACACAACAGGAATCCCACACCCAGGCATCACATCTCCCTCTGGGAAACAAGAAATGGATCATTATGACCGAAGCATGTGAGTCTTGTGATAAAGCAAAAAGTGAAACTCCATGTATCCTCTTTGTACCTTCCAGGAGTGCATAGGAGAGTCAGGAGGGTGCCATTTTCAGCAGAGAAGTAGTGGATAGAAGGCTGTCACCAGCTGTGACTTCTCATTTTCTCAAAACCATGTTTAAGGATTCACACACATCCTTAAACAGCTGGAGTGTATCTCACCAGATGTTGTTGGACTTCCAACACCTGTCAGCCATGGCCAAGGGTAGCCCAGTGTTGAGAGATGCATCTAGAGGACCACAACTGCTTATTCCTGGCATAAATCATCTACATTTTCTACATTTGTGTACATTAGAATGGTAACAGTAGAATGGATCTTGCCTAATCTTCTAATAAATCCAAGGTGAGATCTGCCTCTGCTGATTCAGATCAAAGGATCCAGTAAGTCTCATACTGTGTCCCCAGCAGTAGCCCTTGGACGTGGTCCATGCTCAAGACTGTGGCCCAGATTGTAGAATTATTCTTCGCTACAGTAAACCCACTGAATTGATGGGATTTACCTATTTGTTGACCCACCATTCAGCAATTGACTGAATGAGCATACACTAGTTAGAATTAACCAGTAAGACATCAGGTTTATCCACTGTGTTAATATATGTTTACATGTTTTAAAACTTAATTTGTTTGCATACTGTGAAAAACAATCTTTGGCTCATTAGAGCCAAAGACCAATGTTTCTGACCACTGCTACAGCCATTGAGATGCTCAGATGAATGTCTAATTTTGTCACCTGTTCCTTTTCTATTCCTGACTAGGAAATCACAACCAGAACCAAAGAGAGAGAAGGAAGCCAAGAAGCCAACAATTAAGAAGCCATTGAATGCTTTTATGTTGTATATGAAAGAAATGCGGGCAAAGGTCATTGCCGAGTGCACCTTGAAAGAAAGCGCTGCTATCAATCAGATTTTAGGAAGGCGGGTAAGAGCACAAAAGCCAGTGATTGTGTCATTTTGGTTCCTATACAGGAGCTGCTGCAGGTCCTCCCTGGGGAATGGCTTCTTCAACATTTCCAAAGGCTATGACCTTGTAAAAACAAGTGACTTCACCCAGTTTACAATTTCATTGAGTTGGGAAGGACAGTGGAATTCAAGCATGGCTGGCCTTTCATATTTGTGCAGTAAATTTCTAAATATTTGGCAACTAAACTCATTAGCCCAGACTATAAATGCATCTTACAGAGCAGAATATCTCCCCCAAATCTCCCCCACCCCCCATTTTGATGGGACTCAGCCATTTTACATCCCAGTAAAGTCTTTTTGTGTGAATCATTTTATCATGAGCTGTCAGGGCAGCAAATAAAAAGAGAATATAAACAATTCCAACTTAAAAGCAATGATTTTAACAAGAGAAAAACATATTAAACAATTCATTTTGAAGAGCCAATTTCACCCTGGATCTGGAATACACTGGCATCTGCTGCAGCACATTTTTTGGCTGAGCTCAGACTTTCTTGAGACTTTCTTTAATGTGCTGTATGCCTTTTGTTGTATGCTGCAGCACACATCACAAATGTGTGTTTTATAGCCACCATGGCCTTGCGTCAGCTTCAAAGTGCATCAGATGGTCAATGTAGAAGGGCCCACAGTGATTTGTTGGTCTGCTTGGGTGTATTTGTGTAGGCCACCCATTATAATGAGTTACACATAAACCACAAGAGGTATTGCCCCCAAATTCTTCTTTCATGCCCTCCCATTCCCAGATTTTTAAAAAGATGCTGCATTGCCAAGGAATTCAGAATGTGACCGTGAGCTTTTACTAGTGATCAGCAATCTTTTCTAGACAGCCATTTAAACCAGTAAAGTGTCATCTACTTCTCAAAGGATTGCCCAAAAAAGTGAAGTGGGCATCAATTATTTCCACTGCATACATAGCAAATTTGGTGTGGGATGTTTGAACCTCCCAAAGGTTTCTCATGCTTTTATCATGGCTGAGCCAGAATTCTGATGATGGATAACTCAGGTCCAAAATGGATGAACCCAGTGGACCTCTTTTGAGACCTACAACTTTCTCTTCCTCTTTTGGTCACAGACCACTTAGCCACACAGATTTAAATTTAATCTCAAGGACTTTACAGTATGATTTTGTTTTTAGATTTAGAGTACAAATGTCTAACTTTTTAACACGGTTCTGTTTATTCTGTAAAAAGGCCCAAGACCACTAAAAAGTGCATGCTTAGTTCACTGTTTGTTTCTCCCTTTTCCCAACAAAATTTTAGGACTCCAAGTTAATGTGCTGAATGAGACACTGTTGCATTCTCATTCTGATCGTAAAACATGCTGACATTTACCTAAAATGAAACTAAGAGATGACTTTGACTAAAATATAAATCTGTAGATTTCGTAAACCAGAAACTCTAAAAGAAGATTGCAGTTTCTTCAGCATTTTCCTGAACAGCTGTTATCAAGAAAAACTGCAGGAAAAGGGAGTGAGAGTGGGAAATCTGATTATTTAAACTATTTCTTCTAAAACCATGATCTATTATTTTCTGAATTTTTCCTGTATAAGCAGGGGCTTCTTTTGTTTGATTCTGGAGAATAGGAATATTAAACATATTGCTTCTAGGATCATAGTTAAGTTTGATATTTCCAAGTCAAACATGTGGGAGGGGGAAATGTGCTTTTTTTCATTTTTATTTATTTTTGCCTATCATTCTTTGCTTGTACTTCATGCTGACAACCAAAAAAAAACTATGTGGCAAGAGATTATAGTTCAAATTTTCTAGATATATGTTATCGCCATTTTTACTGCTTCTTACTTTGATGGAGTCGTGATTCCGTACATGCTTTGTGCCTTGACCATGTTGTTTGGGCATGATGGGAACTTGAATTCATGAGTATTTGAGGGACCATATTTTATTTACTCTTGACATAGGAGATCCAGCCTAAGATTTGCTCTTTATTGATCAGAGTGATGACAGTTTCCCGTGGTTTCCCTTTCAGTGGCACGCATTGTCACGGGAGGAACAAGCCAAATACTATGAACTGGCCCGCAAGGAGAGGCAGCTTCACATGCAGCTCTATCCAGGCTGGTCTGCAAGAGATAACTATGTAAGTACTGGGCAGAGTCACAGATCTGGGATAATCCATCTGGGGTTCATTTTTGCCTTTCAGCTATCTCAGTTTTAACACACCAGCTTTCACTGTCTTGCCTCAGAGATAGTTTTAGGCAATGCAAATTATGGGCAGTGTACCCGAGTTAAGTCAGACACATCAGAGGAATATGTGTATCGGTTGTCAGGTTATTGTCCACTGTTTACATTAGAAGTGAGTCAAGAGAGAAGGCCTGGAGAGGTTTTCACTTATAGAACAAATGTTTTCTTCTCTCAGAAGAGATTAATGTTTTGGTTTTTTGGCATGCGTAGCAGGTCTTGTGTGTTATTCAGGGTTACTGGCTTTCTCCTTTAACTTGACTCAGTGTTCCATCATACAATGTGGCCAACCTCTTTGACACATTCAAACATCAGCTGTGAAATTGGTGCCAGTCATCAAACAAAATGCTTTAAGAACTATTTTTTTTGTTGATAATTTTGTGCATCTTTTTCTCCTATTTGTTACTTAGTAATCCTTTTCCCAGTCAATTTCCCACCTCTTCATTGTTGCTATTTTAGTTTCTAATATTTACTTGCTATTTCATCTTGATAATGAGTTTAGTGTGATTTATTTTATATGTTAAATCAATTATTCTTCCTGATCTTTTGTACAGAATGCCTTTATCGCCTCACTCTCCTCTGGCAGCTAGCCTTTCAGCTATAACTCTACTGTGTTCTCATATTTGTTCCCCAGGTTGATTCAGATCTGTTGAGTTGGCCTCTTTTTCTTTTTCAATTTTTTCTTTGGAATTTTACTGCTGATTTTCTTTTGTCTACTTCCTATATCTTGATTTGTTTGCATTATCCTCCCCTCACTTTTCCTTGTGACATCCAGGTTAAGTCGCTACATTTTTTTTTTTTACTTTGCCATTCTTTGGCTTTTCCTGATTCACCCACTATGTTTTTCACTATTCCATGTCTCTGTCCTTTTTTTATTTGCTGTCCTTTTTCCTGAAGTGTACTTCTTCCTTGCTAATCTTGACACAACATCTGGACTTCCATTTCTCCCCTTCAACTTTTAACTTCTGATCTCTTCCAAACTGTTCATTCCCTCTCCATTTTTGCCCTTGTTATCCTAATCATCTTATCTTCCTCCAAACTCTAAGCCTCTGGACAGGATTTTTTTTTTTTACTTTTTAGCATAATTATTAGAGACTGCCAAGTCTTTAGGGGTTTTTTCTAAGTGGTAATAATAATACCTACATGATAAGAACCAATTACACTTTATAACACAATTTTTGTTCGTGGGTTCTAAATGTCATTTCCTAATGGAAAAAGCTTGTTAAACTGCAAACAAATTATTTTTGCTTTCTAAAAATTGCATATTTTCATCAAGGAAAATTACAAATGAAGTGCCTAGATTGAAGGAAATAATAATGCCACCTTCAACCACAAAAACAGGGTTTCTGCAGTATAACAACTACTTTCAAAGTAAATACTGCACAGTTAAACAGGAAATAATACTTTCAAGCCAGGAACATATTTTTCAATTTTTTTTACATAGTATTATTATTGTTAGAACAAATAGGGACAGAATTATCTCGGTTAGCAGCTGTCAAACTTTGATCCCCCAGATATTTTGGACAGCAGCTCCCAGAAGACTCAGCCAGAGGGGCTGATATTTGTGACTTTTAGGAGTTGACATCTAATACATGGAAGCACATAGCTTGAGAATCACTTTTCTGGGAGATTTGAGTGGATGGACAAAGGAATGGATGGGTGTTTACACCAGGATAAGGCATTTGTTGGCAGACTGCAGCGGAAGAGGAAAACAGCACAGAAAGCAAACTCCATCACCTATAGACTTCTGAGAAGCTTGGAAGTTGGCAGAATGGTTTTCTCTTTTGACAGAAACTATATCTGACATTCTGTACTTCTTCCCATCACTACACAACCACTTCCACCTGTAACAGTGTAGTTGCTACGATGGCCAACATGATCGTGGAAAGTGTTTGTTTCAGTGATTGTGGAGATCCTCAGTGGGCTACGGAATAGTCCCCCAAGTGGTAAGACACAAAGAGAAAATTGTCTTCTCATTTTCTTTGCAATGTAAAAAAAAAAAAGTAGCATTCTTCAGCCATTGGGCTTTCTGCTGGACTTCAGGCCTTGGGGGTTGCCTAGCCACGCTATTCTCTGTATTTTGACCTGGGAATAAAAGTCTAACAACAACTATAAGATATATCAGTTTGGATCTGGTTAGGCTTCTTCATGAGGTTTATGTATTTCCACTCAACACTGGTGAATATGCTGCATTTTTTTTAGAAAGGTCATGTGTTAGATTGACCAGCTGCAGCAAAACCAAGAAAGAGTCTTGCAGCCCTCTGGAGACTACAGTGTTTTGTTTCACATAAGCTTTTGTGGACTCCAGGCCACTTCTTCAGCTGCACCCCAGCAAGCTTGAGTCCACAAAAGCTTATGACAAAACATTATAATCTTTAATATGCCTCAAGATCCTATTTTGTTTTTATGGCAATAATCTAACAGCAAAAAAACAAAACAAAACCTCTCAAAATTCTCTCAAGAACGAGTTCCTCCTTAATATAAAGCATCCTGTTGACTTGAAACTGGGAGTATTAAGGATAGTGCTTTTGTGAGAAATAAATAATCTCTTTACACCACAGAGACAGCTTAGTTTAAGGGTTTAGACTCCCTATTTATTTAGCTTAAGATAATATCCACTTAACTATCATCAAGGAATATTTTCTTCCTCCAGGTGTTAACAATGTAAAGTAGACAGAAAAGCAACCTGATAATGGGCAGATGAATGCCTTCTTTTTAATTTATGTGAGCTTGAACTAGATTTATGGTAAGCAGAAACAAGGCACACGAGAGAAATAACAATGTGGAGAGGGCAGAAGGTTTGCAGATGGGTTCCATCACAATTCATAATAATAACCTCACCCATATTTGTGTTATAACTCTTAATTACTGAGTTCAATTAACTTTAGAAGTAGTCTTTGTAGATTATATATGGTTTGACATATGCTGGCAGAATAAAGCAACTTCTTCAAGTGGCAGATGCTGAGGGAGCATTGTGTGTTAGAAATCCCACAACCATTCACCCGACAAGACCCTGCCCATCTTCATCCCTTGGAGGACTGAAACATGTATGCCCTAAGCAAGGGTGGGAAAGTGCAGAGATGGCCTTTTTTAACGCTTGCAGTCCCCACAGGGGCCACTCTGGACATGACCAAAAGTGATGTCACTTCTAGATTTATTTTTGGCTGATTTCCTATCATTTATAGTGGGATGTCAAAGCTTTTTTCATCAAAATCATTGCAATAGATGGGTAGATGGTTGGATGAGAATGAACAATCAGGAGGGAAGGCGATCCAGGGGCTTCACGGTGTCTCAAAGGATTGTATATGGCCTTCCAACCACACTTTGCCCTCCTGTTCCAGAAAGCTTGCCCAAAAGATCTTAACAAGAGGTGTTGCCTTCAATTGTAGTTGGAAGAAGGTATCCCATTGGCACTAGTGAAATAAGATCCTGCTGCCAGTTTGCTTCCATACACAAAATGGAGAAAGGTTCCATGTTGTCCTTATCTTAGGTAGCCAAACATCTTCAGGCAGCTGTTTTGGCCCAAACACTGGTCATGCCTTTTTCCTCCCTTCTAAAAGTCTGGCAAAAAATATGAGAAAACAGGGAGTTTTGGAGGCTGACTGGATGAATAGATTCTGACATCCTCACCACTTCTGAATCCCTATGAGAATCCCTAATCCATTCCTGCTCATCCGCCAAGAGGGCACTGGGTGAAAGCCCTAAGCTGAAGTTAGCTTTGGCCGATCATAGTGGTTGAAGGGATTCTCGGAGTTACCTTTCCAAAATGTAACATATCCATGCTCTGGAACCTAAAGTGCCACCTAGGCCAACACTGATTTGCATGATAAACAGACACTGAGTAGCCATTGTACCATCTTCTCTTTCCTTCCATTTATGTGAACTGGGCATGCTAAGTTGCCCTTCTCACACATAACCTACTATGGGAACTGCTTTCCCTCCTGTGGTGCAACTGTAATGTTTGAAAAACTATCATCTCCAGGGCTCTGAGGACACTTTAGCTAGCAAGGCTTGTCTTCCATTCTTAGAAGATGAGCATTGCTTTCTCATATGCAGTTGAGTGGAATATGGAATCAGGATTCACAGAGTTGAAGTCCAAAGACCATGACATCATATATCACTTTGGACTCCCCTTCTCCCTACTGCAATTCACCATAGTAACGAGTGGGAAAACTAGTGCTCCCAACAACATTGTGTTGTTATAAACTATCCCTCTGGTCATCCTTGGCATGCTGTACTGCAGTTACAGATTTGTAACCTAGTGTTATGGATCTCTGACCGCTCTGTATCAGTTATATTGCATAATCACAATCATGGTACTATTGCCACAATCACAGAATCACCACCACCCCTAGAATTGCACTTTAAACTTTGGAGGGCCACTCTGAGCACTGGAGATCTGTTCTCCTTTTTGCCGGGAGCGATACTGCAACAATCAGAAGCAGGTCCCTGTCTCATGTCTTAATGGCAGCATTGTTCGCTGTTTGTGTGGCTCTGGAAATATCATCCTTCTTATGCTCCAATCAGCAAATGAACAGAGCATCCTCTCAAACATGTTAAAGAATACAGTATCTTGGTAGCCTGTGTGTGCAGGATTCTCTGGACCTGAGCAAGTAGCATTTTTATCTCTTTTTACTCTTTGCCAGCAGGGGGAGCTCTTTAGAAAATACCTGAAGTATCAAAATAACACAAGATCAACATGGTGTTCTTACTTTCCTTTCCAGGTGGGGAGAACACTCACAGTTTCTAATCATTTGGAAGAGTTGTTTACTCCCAAATATTTAACTTTGTGAACAATCTGGAAGTCCAGTATCTCACCTAAAGTTTTTTATTCCCCATTAGTCATATTCTTTTCATCCTGGTTAATTTTGAAACCCGAATTTCTCCATACATCTTCAGGATAAAATTCAAAGTCCCATCAGTATCCAATGAGTCTTCTAAAAAATCATCAAATGGTTAGCAAATACTTTTTATGCATAACTGACCCTTTATACAAGTACTCATTTCTTCGCATTTTTTCAGTTTAAGACCTTTAGCAGCATTAAAAACAACATTGCTGAAGGGGAGGATATCCCTGTCTAATACTTTTCTATATTTTGTATAGTTTAGTCAACTCCTCATTAATCAAAATCAGGGTTGGTTAATCCATTCTTGCAAGTTTCTTTCAAATTTCATCTTTAGCAAAGCTCTCATAAAAAGCCAAGGCACATTGTCAAAAGCCTTTTCAGCATCTAAAAATATCAAAGCTGTAAGTAGAAGCTTGCAGGTTCAATCTGTGCCATTTCCAGTTAAATTATTTGAAGTAGCAAGCAATGAAAAGACATGTCTCTGCTTCAGAGCAATAAGAACAATGGTACTATGCAGAACTTAGAAAGTTGCTCTTTTGCAATGGAGTTCCCAGATTCTTTCACCCTGTCAGCATGGGTATTTTGGCCCTAAACATTCCTAAGCTCTGAATGGCTGCCTGACAAGCTTTGCAAGAAGACTAGTCCAAATGCTTTTATGGTGATGATAATGCCAAAAGCACAGAAGCACCTGTTTTGGGAATCTCTTTGCATCCTATCCACCCACCACTGAAAGGAAGGGATGATGGAGAAGTTGGAATAGGAAGGTAGAACAGCTTATAGTCAGGATGTTTTCATTAATGAGCTCAATGAAAAATATCCCGGAGTCCTCTGCTGTGAGATTTTTTCAGTTCCTGACTTCCTGATGTGAGCATGTGCTTGAGTTGGTGCGTTTTGTTTCTGTGCTCTTCAACACTGCTTATTTTTAACACTTTACCCCCTTGCTCTTCAGTCTTCTTCAGGCTCTTCATCCCGTGATCACACAAAGTATAACTCAGGGCCCCTGGAATTCAGCAGTACTTCTGGGCCGATTTCTGCAGCAAGGGTAAGAGAATTCTGCAGCGAATGTCATTCTGCATTACGGCAGTGAGAGTCTGTCACCACCTGCCACTCATGCATCCACCTAACCCAGCGTTGGCTGCAGAATTCCAGGAGCCCTGAGCTTTTCCATGGCCAGAGAATTGCTCATTGGCTGTGGAATTTATTGATTTGGAGGAGGCAATCAATAGGTGATGTGTGGGGCTTCTAGGCAGCTAAAATCTATGTCAATGGAAATGGTCCCTCCATGGCCACATGTTCCTTTTTAGACAACTTAATCATTTAAAAAAAAATCTGGAGATTGGCAGCCACAGACAATGGCATCACTCCCTTTCTCCAGTTGTCTCCTTTTGCATATGGTATTCACAGAAAATGGGCTGCAATTTTATCCCCAAATCTATGACTGCTAGAGGTCATTGCTCTTATTATTGCTGACCTGGGGAACACAGGTTGAGGAAGACACCTCCCAAAAAAAATTTAACCGCAAAGAATTGGAAGAATTTTAGATAAAGCAACAGAAACAGCAAGCCCATGGCCTAGATATAATATTTCTGAGTGCTCACTTCCATTATCAGTCAAGTCTTACATAAGACTTGACTGATAATGGAAGTGAGCACTCAGAAATAAGGGGGAGCTGTTTCAGTATAACCACATTTATCATATATTCCCCTTACTGTCTAAATGGCTGTAACTGCTACAGGGTTAGTATTCATTTTCATTTTGACAGAGCACCAAATACAAATAATGGCTGGTTTATGTTGCACAGGAAAGTTAGTATGCAACTAGATTCTTCTGATTTTGTACACATCATTGCACTAACATTTTTCTAATAGCATAAGAAATATTGCCATGCTTCATCAGTTTTAGGGTCCATCAAATCCAAGCGTATTGTGTCTTTGTAATGGCCAGCAGAGAAGCAGGTCTCAGACAGAATGGCAGTTCCTATTGCTTGTCCCCAACATCTAGAAGTACTCATAGGTTAGAAATGTTTGTGTCTGTCTTGTCTCTCAAAACTGCTACCGCTGTATGTGCCAGAATGTTGTCTGCATACCCTTTTTGCTAGGAAGCTGCTGACAGAAAACAAAATTGACTCTATGAGCATTCATGATGAATGGCATTCCCATGTGTTCTAAGCTACTTTCCTTCTGCCTTCCACATTCCCAAGTACACTATTTCATGAATTTGATGGATGAAGTTCCGTTGCTTTCCACCTCTGCCATACACAAAAGGGAAAACTTTTAAGAGGTCTGTATTGTCGAAGGCTTTCATGGCTGGAATCAATGGGTTGTTGTAGGTTTCTCAGGCTGTATGACCATGTTCTAGAAGCATTCTCTCCTGACATTTCGCATCTGTGGCAGGCATCCTCAGAGGTTGCGACCTCACAACCTCTGAGGATGCCTGCCACAGATGCAGGCAAAACGTCAGGAGAGAATGCTTCTAGAACATGTCCATACAGCCTGAGAAACCTACAACAACCCATTGATTCCAGCCATGAAAGCCTTCGAAAAACCTACAGGTTTTAAAAGGGCTGTTCAAATCTTCCCAGCACTAGAAATGCTTGTGTAAGTCTTCTGCCTTTCTGCCTACTGCACCATCCTGAGATTTATTTTTCCCTGCTTTTACATCCATTTGTATTTGTTCCCTAGAAACAACTATAGTAAACATAAGAACCCCATGGCCACTGTTATACTAATCCAATGTGGGAGATTGGCATTTCTCCCCCTCTCACCCACTGCCTCAGTTGTGGAAGCAGCTGTGGTGATAACACTTCCCAGACTGATTGGTGCCAGAGGGCTTCCTTAGGAAAGCTGGGATGGATGCAAACTGGGAGGGTTGGTGAGTCTTCTCCTTGCCTGCTGCTGCCAGTCTATCCCCCTTAAAGTCTGTTGAATTAACGCTGGTCTTCAGGTTACATCTCACCTTCCTCCCTTTCAAACTGGTTACTGCATCTCTTGTGCCAAGCATGGAAGGAATGGTGCAGAACAGGTGAGTTGTTCCTTCATCCACCAGCTTCTCCATGCAATAACCGTTCCCACCAATCAGATCAGTGTTCCTGTTGTACAAGAGATCCTAGGATTGTGGAAAGCAGATGATAGAGATGAGCTGAAAAGGACAACAGAAAGGCTACAGGAGGATATGTCTTCCTGTAGCTCATATGCTGCCTTTCCATTCCTGATTTGTGCAAATATGACAGTTAGGATCCAGCAACTGATTGATGGAATGTATATCTGGGGCTGTCCACAAAAGCAAATGAGAAACCTCCCAACCAATGCCAAGCTTGCACCTTGGTTCTTGAGATGCTAGCTTTTCATGTATCAGGATTATTGATGCAAAAATAGCATCAAAATAGGCAGGACTCCCTTCCTCACCATTTAGCATGTGCCGAAAAATTCTACTACCACAATGTGTGTACATGTTGCCTGCTAATTTATGGTGATCCTATGAAATTATTAGGCAAGGAATACTGAGGCATGGTTTTGCCACTTCCTCTCTTTGAAATATAATCTATACTACCTGGCATTCATCGATAGCTTCCCATCCAAGTACTAACCAAAGCTGACTCTGCTTAACATTGAAGATCAGCTAGGATCTGAACCTTTAGGGTATTTTGGCCCCTACCACAGTGTACATTACTGAAAAGTTGAACTAATTTCCAATATTCCAGAGTGAGAAGCTATTCAAACACTACAGACAGCCCCTTATGCCCCTAATAGTAAGTCCGCCATAGGGGTGTTTTCCAAATACAAACTTGTGGAAACCCATTTGCAACTTGAGTGCCCCAGCATGTGCTTAACACTCATTTCCTTCTTACAGCTGAGATGCAGCTTTGTGTCACATCACAATGAAGACACAAAGCATGTACATTAATAACAGCCACAAACATTGTGTCCTAATTGTGGTGTAGGGCAGCTGTGTAGTAACAAGACCTCCCGCTGCCAGCAAAATCAGCATTATATGGAGAGGAGTGTGAGGAAAGACAGTCTGGTTTGATTTTGCTTGCTTTCATCAGGGAAGCGGTTTTTGTGCCTCGCTGATGACAAACATATTCGAATGCTGTTTGGAATTAAAATGAAAAAGCCTTTGTTTTGCTCTGGCATCACAGTCCCTTCTCTGGAAGTTAAACAAAGGCTGCAGCCTCAAATGCATTTACTGTGGACTAAGTTGAATTCAGATAGACTTTCTTCTAACTGAATATGCCGGAGCCCTCAGTGGCGCAATGACTTAAACCCTTGTGCCGGCGAGACTGCTGACCAACGGGTTGGAGGTTTGAATCCGGGGAGAGTGCGGATGAGCTCCCTCTGTCAGCTCCAGCTCCCCATCCAGGGACAGGAGAAAAGCCTCCCACAAGGATGGTAAAGCATCAAAACATCCAGGCATCCCTTGGGCAATGTCCTTGCAAATGGCCGATTCTCTCACACCAGAAGCAACTTGCAGTTTCTCAAGTCGCTCCCGACACAAAAAAACTCAATCTGACTTATGAGTAGGATGTTCAAACTCGTTATTATTAGGCCTCAGCAAGACACTACCAATAATTTCAGTTTTTATGCCTAAGAAAAGACTGGGGGTAATACTACCGTAGCAAATGGTGGTGTTAGAGATATACATGGTTTAAAAAAAAAGCCCATGGAGAAAACAACTAAACTTTTAGATGGAGATAACCAGTTCCATGTGCTATTCCCCAAATGTTCATATTCTCTACTTTCCATGTGCAACCTTTCCTCCATCCTATCTTCATATGCCCCACACTTCCTTGCATTTCAAAAAGAAGTGTTTTCAATAAATCCCAGTTTTAGATTTGCCCTGGGCATTCTTGCATGTAGGATACAGGCCATGAGTGCCTCACCATGAAACTGAGAAGGTGAAGCCAAACTGGTTTTCCCCTTACCATCATCTTTTCTGTTCCACATCAGTTTGAGAGTATTTACATATTTACTGGGAGAACTGTCAGTATGGGCACAAAGACATGGTCTTTGCAAATGGGCAGACTCCCAGTATATGAGAGTAGGAAGCCAGGTTGTCTCCTCAACACACAGGCATTCAGTGTAGAGGCAGCACATGGTGTAGAGGCAGCACAGTGTAGAGGCAGTTACTGCCCACATGGGGCAGTAACTTACAAAACCAGACTCTGGATCTTTTTCCATTATTGCTGAAATTTAGGGAAGTCCTCGGCCATTTTTTCACATAGGTGGTGATCCATTTCAGACCTTTGATTACCTGCATTAATACTAGGCCCAATAGGGCCTAAGGCTGAGCCATCCCCTGAGATCAGTGTATGATTTTAAAAGTTGTGTGGAGAGACTTGGATTATCCTTTTATCACAAATAGCAGGCCAATACCTGTGAGCTAAAGGCAAGAAAAGGGTTTGGTTCCTGTCGTTTAAATTCAAAAGATAGACAAAGGTTCTAATACCGGATAATGACTTCTATTACAGGATGAAAGAAAACATATATAGGGAAAAAAGGATATTTCTGTTCCCAAGTAGGGGTTATGCTACCTTCAAGCCCAGTTGAGAGAAATTTAAAGAAAGAAGTAGACAGACAGACCTGCTTTGCACTATGGAAAACATATTTCTGTAACATAGACTTAGAAAGGCACAGGGTCTTTTCTCTGGATGTCCACCACTGATATTTACAACCAATATTTGATTTAACGTATTTTAATTTCATCTATGACATAACACAGCCATTTATTGGATAAGGAAGAAAGGGTATCAGCAGAGGCACAACCAATTATGTTTCTATAACTGGATGCACAACAATTATATCATCCTCTGGGATCTTTGAAGACCCTAGAAGAACCAGCTGATGCCATATAGGTGAAACCACCTATAGGAACACAGCTAGACTCTGCTCTGCTGCCACCCAACTTTCTACTGACCACTAAGGGGCCAAATTGGTGAAGGGGGTGCAGAAGGTAGAATATGGGTTGGATTCTTTGGTAAGGTGATGTGCAGGCACCTTTACTTATTTTATCTCTCTATATTTTAGAGATTTCAAAACCTCTTCCATCTCTAAAATCATCAGAACCATAAGCTTCCAATAATAAGGCTGACTCATTAGTTATTTAAAAGGTTGTGTGGCATCTGGCACCTTGCTGGTGGTACTGATAGCTGGGCAAAAGGCTACATTAAAGGTTTTTGCTTCCACTTTAAGGGTAACTCCTGACACTCCAGAATTCATGGTGATTCGATTTTGGATAGGTATGGGGGAAGAAGCATGGGAGCCGCATTTTATTCCCACCTCAAAATAGTCCTCTAGCAAAAGTAAGTGCCTTTATTTGCGTTATGATTTGTGTTTTTAATATCTCTCTCTCTCTCTCTCTCTCTCTCTTCCCCCCACACTCCCCTCCTCTCTTTTTGTTCACAGGGGAAAAAGAAAAGAAGAACAAGAGAAAAGCAGCAAGACTCAAATTCAGGTAAATCCACTTGTGCAAAACCCAGAGTAATTTCTGATAACTTTCTGCTTGTTTGTATTGCTAAGAGATTAGTTGAGACACCCAAACAATAGCTATAATCTTTCTCTAGGATTTTTATCCATGACCTAATGTGACTTCAGTAATCCTTATCTACGTTAATACTGCCTTTGATTTCTCTATAGGCAGACCACTATTTATGCTATAAATTCTAATGCGTTTCATATCACATGAGACATAACAGCTATTTCTTCTAGCTTTGCTCTTTTCTGCAACTGTGTGTCCTGTCTGTTCTTTTGTAATACCATCAACAATCCAGTTAAAAGGCAAAGAGTGCATATTCAGTTCATACCTGGTTCTTGTCTGACACATTAAACTTCAGTCCCTTCATCTTGCCAAAACATTTCTCTCTGATTTTTCAAATGAGTGTAAGGAAGTTCAGTGGTCTCTGGTCTCTATTACTTCCCTTTCAACACCCCTTCTTTCCAGTCAGTATTTAGCTTGTCATGTTAATACATGCCAACCATTTCCAAATAAGTTATTCCTCCTCATGAGTGAGGCTATTACAGCAGTCAGAATCCCAATGAAAAATTGATTGTATCTGAATTTTATTTTATCATCTTATTGTGCAATACTCCAACATGATTTGAAAGAATCAGTTTTAAAAACAGGCATGGATATGTCATTCTAGTAGCAAAAACATTTTGGTATTCCCTGTTAGTGCCAATAAAAATGACAGATGCTCATAGAATCTACTCCTTTCACCTGCTGTCCTCAAGCCCATATACTAAATCACTTTTAGATCTCAATAATACCCAGGTTGGCATTGGACTACATCCATGAAGCCTAACGCTAAGCAGATTTTTTTTCTGGTGCATGTCTTACTGAGGCCAGTGGAGTCGATTTCCAGTTAAGTACACAGATCTGCAACTGTAGTCTCCTATTTCAGGAGATCATTTGGCTATCAAACAACATTCTTCATCATGGGCTGGAAGTCTGATGGTCCTTAGCACAATGTATCTCAATGAGATTGCATGTGTGTGTGTACACACCAGTACAAGCTAATACTTTATACCTGAGAACACTATCCCAACCACTGCATTTCGGGTCCTCCTTCATGAGGTCATTTTATTTGCCTAATCCATCCTTTGTTCCAGGTGAGACACTGCAGCCAGCAGAAACTTGTTGCCAAAGAAGGTTTTATGTGGCCTGTTTAGTTTTGCCTCTAGCAGTCAAATTGATGTTGCGTCTTTTCTTCTTCTTCCTCCTGCTCTTGCTGCTGTTTGTGCCTCTGCCTTGCCCATTCTCCGCCACGCATGCTCCTTGTTCAGATCCTGCCTCTCCTAAGAAATGCAGAGCTCGCTTTGGCCTCAACCAACAAATGGACTGGTGCGGCCCATGCAGGTGTGTATTGGAAACTTTTGCTTTCCAGGCGTGTTCCTTAGGCTACAAATTGATCTTCTTCTGTGTGGTTTTATTTTTTTGTGCAGTTTCTTCAGCTTCCTTTGCTCCTAACACTACTAATCACACTCTTTAGACTTGCTTTTTGTGGCCTCCCTAGCTTTTTCACATTGCTCCTGTTCTAATATTACCTACATATGCTTTCTTCTTCTAAGGTAGGAGAGTGAGAATAACAGTAATTCAAAATATATAATTATTTATATATAAGCCATTATGCTAGAATTTGTGTATGTCAATTAAATCCAAAGGTGTCATATGTGCCTGATGACTCTTGCCTCTAACTTTAAATAGTGTCAAGCATGAGGTCTGTGGAGGAAATAGTTGCAGCTGTGTGCAGCACAAGAGGGAGCAATCTTCATTGAGTGAGGAGTATAGAGCAATATGTTCAATGTGATGGTTAGTGAATTGGTGCTAATTCACAAGCTATTGGCTGCCAGGTAACAACTATAGCCAATGTACACACTTTCAGTACTGATATCAGCACACTGGAAAAATAAATGATCAGTCCCCCTTGCATCAGATAGCATGTGAAGAACTGGTGGAGTACAGGCTAGCCTGAGATTTCCTCCCTATATAGATGAAGAGCCTAGCTAAACCTAAAAGGGGAATGGTAGTTTAATTCTCTAATGTCACTTCTCTCATCTGTATTTTGCTCAAGTATAAGATGGAGAAATCCATGGTTTCCCACCTAGAATCATACTGGCTATGTACTCTCATGTAAAGTAGTGATGAAGAGTAAATTATCTCACACATCCTGCAGTTCCTGCAGTGTGGCCAGCTTACTCTTATGGGGAGATTCTTGTTCCTGGAACATGATTTGTATGAAAGTAAAGAAAGGGGATATTTGATTGCCCCAACTCTATTGGACCACAACCTTCATCATTCATAGACTGTATTGGCCATTCTGACTAGCCGTTGAAGATGCGGAGTGTATGTTACATGAATCAATAATGAAGAAAAAGTCCCATTTTGCAGTTATTGTTACTTGGATAGAGCCACTGGTGAAACAAAAATGTACATGATAGCCTTTTCCTAATGCAAGACTGCCACCCTCCCCAAGTACTGTGTTGGAGTCTCCTCCTCGTCATAGATGACTTCAGGCCTATTCAAGAGCAGAATTTCACTCCCAGCAGAATTAAAGGCATTGTCGATTACTGACATGAAACCTGCTTTCTACTTCTTGCCTTAGGTTTCTGCCTCATTATCCCAATCCTATCCTAATCAAGGTAGTTTTGAAGCCCATACATTCTCCCATTAAATTTGCCATCATGTAGTCTATTATCTGCATGGCATAAAAAGGTTTGTGGAAAAGTGCCAAATGGACTTCACGGCTTCTCTAAAGATTTACCTTCAGACAGCCTAGTTTGACACAGTGCTCCCCTTCCTGCAGAATACAGCACTCATGGAAGGGAGGGGTGTCATAATTAATTAAAACTGAGAAGTTCTTCTCCATGCAAGTTATTAATTCAGTATCTCTTAATAGTAGCAATAGTAATAAGCTGCTGCCATCCAGTCAGCAAAAGGATCCATAGCATTACTTTCCAGAGGTCTGATTTACAGACTAGAGCTCACATATTCTTTGCTTTGAGCTAGCATGGCTTCTGTACTAACCAAAGTAGCTGGAATGCCCCTGAAGAGCTTTTGGTGACTTCCTTACTTGCTTATTTTCTCATCTTCTTCAAAACTACATACTGATCCTCCTTGTACTAATAGGCCAGTTCCAGATTAATAAGTTTATTTGAATTGAGTGCAGTCTATCCCTGCCAACAATATTCTCCCGAGTATTTTCCATTCCGTAAGCTCAACAGATGGACCACACGCCTTACAAACTTTGGCACTGGCACCAGACCCAACTAAAGAAATGAAAACCACATTGGTGTAAATCATTTGTTAGAAAACTTGGTTCTCTTTCAAATTCTTTGGCTTCTCATATTGTGCAGGAAGAAAGCTAGAGTTCAGAGTTCACCAACAAATATATTCAGGAGTTACAAAAACCTTAACCACATAGCCTAGAGCTATGATCCAATCTACTTAAACTTACACTATCCATAAAACGTTTTTTTCTACATTACGTATTGCCAGAAATATGGGTATGTGATAAATTGAGTATGCTTGTGCATATTAGATATTCCTAACAGCCAACTCTCCCCTTTATTCATTGTGTAAGTTTCTGTTGTACCTCTTTATTCTGGTTGATCAATAATATGTAGGAGTAGACTTCCCCTTGGATGTTGGTAGTCACTGCTGTACTAGTAGTGTGTACCTCTGGCCAATGAAGAAGAAAGGAAAATGCATCACTTCTAGGATATCCACCCCCAGAAATGCTGCTGTTGCTTCCTACTGAGAGAGAGAGATCAATCATCTTGCTGTGAACACCACAGGAGAGGACAAATAGGCACCTTAAATTATTTGAGTCTTTACTTCTAGCAGTAAACCCATGGACTGAAATGAGTGTGAGCTCCCACCAGACGCCATTTCATGGTGTGCCTTCCTTTTTTCAAAATGCTTAAGAACAGGAGCTAGGTATTTTGAAATATAAAAAGGTGGTGTAAAAGGAGAAGAAAGAGAAAGCTAAAGTGGAGATTAACATTTGATAAGTGAGAAACCAGTGAAAGCTGAGAAAATGGCATGCCAGCCTACAGCAGCCTTTTTGGCATGCCATAAAGTTCTTCTCATTCATTTCTCTGCCTAAATAGCAATTATTCCATCAGTATTTTTGGCCAGAAACATTTCCCCCTTTCATTTTTATGTAAAAGTGTCAATACTCCTCCAAATGGATTGCCTGAAAAATATACAGTACTGTACCTTTCATGACATGGGAGAAGGTATATTTTTCCTTGAAGAAATTGGCTGCATTCTTACGCATTTTTCTGGGAATAACTCTGAGTATAGTGGATGAGCTTTATGAGCATTTACAATTGCTATGCAAAAACTGATTCAAGGAGAGACCATTTTTGGCTTTCTTCTCTCACAATTTTTCTCCCCAGTAGAACACAGCTGAGATCCAGACTAGTTAGTTTGCACATGAAATCTTCCCACCCAAGATATTTCTGGCATGTTTTAAAATGTCCCATGTGATGATGTTCATGGGTCTTTCATTGAATCAGTTAACGACAAACCTTTCTGTACCAGATCTTACAGCAATAACTGCTAGAGTTTGTCACATAATCCTTGATACTTTCAGAAATGTCTCTCAAAAATTCTCAGAACTGTTTCTGTAATCCATGTGCCCTCCTGAAAACGCATACGCTCCCATCGTGAAAATGCAGCACACGTGCACAAACAACCATGCACAACATATGTGAAGATGGGCACCAACAAGGAGAGAGCAAAGCAAACTGACATTGAGACATTCACAGTTCTCAGTTGTTAAAACATACTGAAACTTGAGTCTTCTCTGTGCAGAACTATCTTTGAGGAAAAAACATTGAGTGGAACTCTCTGCCCCGGAGTGTGGTGGAGTCTCCTTCTTTGGAGGCTTTTAAACAGAGGCTGGATGACCATCTGTTGGGGGTGCTTTGAATGCAATTTTCCTTCTTCGTGGCAGGATTTTCCTTCTTCTTGGCAGGGGCTTGGACTGGATGGCCCACGAGGTCTCTTTCAACTCTATGATTCTATGACTTCCACATAAGTTTTCATTTCATTGAGAATTTATCTGATCTCAGAAACTAAGCAGGATCAGCCAATGAATGCCAGGTGCCTTAGGTCATATTTCATAGGAAGGAACTGACAAGGCTGCTTCATTAATATTTATTTCCTAATAACACCCTGTGAAATTCACGGGGATCACCATACTTTGACAGGAGGTAACTAAAAGCACATATGCAAATATCTACAAGGACCACATCTTGACTTACAGCCTGGATTGTTAATGATTTTTCTTCTTCTCAGCTCTGCCATTCAGAGAACCACACTAAATAGATACATGGGGAGAATATCTTAGGAATAACTAAGGTATTACTTGGAAAGCTGATGTGCACAACTTTCCCAGTTTTTATTCAGGGGAAAAGTGACGACTCACTGCATTTCGTGAAAGATCATTGGAGTAGACAACATAATTTCTCCTTTACCTATGAAGTCCCAGAGTACTGGCCATACACGATGACCTGATGGGAGCTGCAGTCTAAAACATGAGGCCACCAGGCAATCTCTTCTGTTTGAACGTCTACGCGTGCTGTAGTTATACTGCCACCCAGTGGTAAAAAAAACTGCCAAGAGATTGAGAAACATTTCTAAAATTTGCAAGTGGCATAGAAAGATGACAAGAAAATAAACTCCCCCTCTCAGTGGGCTTACTATATTCCAGGCATAACTGTGATGAATACTACAATGCTTTCATTTTAAGAATATGACCCTATAAATTCACCCTTTATTTACAGATAACTCTCTCCACTGTTCTTAGGAGGAAAAAGAAGTGCATTCGGTACCTACAAGGAGAAGGACGCTGTGCCAGCCCAGTTTCTTCCGATGGAAGTGCTATAGATTCCCCTCCTTCCCCTTCGGATGTGCTTCAGGGCACACCTTCCTCTTTCCCTCCAGACAAGCTTGCAGCCCCTGTGGATTTGACACCCCAAAACCAAGCTGACTCTTTCCCCGTATCTGCGCCTATCGAAACTGCTACAAGCACATCAGGACGTATTTCTAAATGCTCAGTGGTGCCTCGTATACCTGCCGCATCCAGAGAATCCTCAGGGTACAGTGTGCTATCAATAGGAACATAGCGCCAGCACAGCAGCAACCATCAGCAAGGCTCATCCTGCACTTTGAAGAGTGGTTTTGCTGCCTAGAGAAGCTACCCAAAGCCATCCCCAGCCTCCCATCACACCCACCAGCTGCAATCTCCGAGCCAGGTGAAAGCCAAGTCAATATTTGGACAACACTGCTGCACTGAAAGTGCTTTTCACTGAAACAAGGACGGTAGATACCCCTCTTCACAGCGTAGGAATGAGGACTCAAACTTGATTCTGGTCAGTAAGCGATTTCTGTTTCTTCTACCAAACAAGCTAAATGCAAAACAGCACATGCAAATTTGTAAATAGTAGCCTGAGAGGTGCTATACATGTTAGACATTCATTTTTGTTTCTCAGTGATAGGTTTCAGTCACTCAGTAAATATATAGGGATGCCAGAACTGCTGAAAAAGTGAGTTCTCCCCCACCCCAAAAGCAGTAGGCAGATGTAAAATGTGGATTCTATTACTATGCTTCACAAATAGGAAAAACTGCTGATTCTACGCAACTGTTTTGTTTCATAGCTGCAATAAGAGTTAGATATACCAGCAGCATAAAAATAGGAACTAAGTGATAAAAGATGTACTGCCTGCTTTAAGATCTGGAAAGTATCCTGTTTATACACAAAGATCACAGATACTTAGAGGCAAGAGCTGTATGCATTCCATTCATTTAGGGGGGGAAAGAAATATTTATGGTAACGAAAGCTGAACTATGCCATGTTTTAGGTGTGTGAAAGTTGCTTATTCTGATTCTGCTAGTCAAGGGAAGCTAACAATTACTGAAGCCAATCAGAGGTGGAGCATGCCAAAGTCAAATCACAAATAATCTTAGTGATGTTTCTAAAAGGTCCCCAGGACTTATTTGCCACACTTTCAGTCTCATCCTCACAGGAGTATCCTGTATGATGAAATTTCTGACAAAGAATGTGACCAAGCCTAGTCGTGTTCCATTGTATGGTCTCCCCCCATGTCTTTTTATGCATTTAAATGAAGTTGCCTAAGATTTCACCCTCCATAATTCCTAATCCATTGTAAGTGCTAGGCAAAGCTTATTGTTATGAAGAGCTGAGATGTTACTTACCGGGTGCATTCATCAGAGCTAGCAGTGTTTTCCTCAAAGGACAGCAACAAGCAGTCCCCTGAAGAGTCCATGCATCTTAATAGTGTGCATGGGAACAGGGAGCTACTAGAGAAAGAATTGCAAATACAAGGCAATTGTATTGTGTGTTGATGGAAATGCCACATCCTCAAGCGGGAGCCAAGGATCCAGTCACAGAACTCAATGTTCAGAGCTTATAAACACAGATCTCATGATCCTAAAACATAGAACAACTGCCTCCAAAGCACTAAATGAAGCTGCATACAGTGACTGGCCAGTAATATAATCCTGAACCTTGACCAGCCACATACAAATTGGCACTATTCAACTTCCTCTATGTTGCATAGAACTGACACCAAAGAACAGTAAAAAATATTCATACGCTTGAATTTCCAAACGTGAGTTTGGATTTTTTTGGCTCTCCATTACAGTTCTACTTCAAATTTTTATTTTGAAACTGGAACCAATAGCAGACATACAAATGTGTGTATTTGTACTCTGCTATTGTCCTATTTTGATAAATGATAATACTTTCTTAATGCCACGCTGGTGTTAGTTATTTTATATTTTAGCAGTCATCATTTTTTTCCTTTTAGAAAAGCATATTATGTGTTGAAGGCAAAACAACATACAGAACTAGAAACTGCTTGCAGTGTCAACATTGCTTTCCAATTTCCACATTTTGAATGCAATACACACACTGTGCACAGTGTTGTTATGACATGGAATACCAATCTGAAAGCACCTTTTTAAATAACCAAATTATTTTTGTACTTAGGACAAAAAGGCATGGGCCTGAACTATTTTTTTACACATTGGAACAGGATCTCTTTCACCTTAAGGCTTGTTTGCACTAGTGTATCCTTCCCTCCCTTTAAATAAGGCAGCAATATTTTAGAACACACTGCTAGACAATGTATTGCTACATAAACACAGTAGCGCAGTCATACAGACATGCAGGTACAAAGTGGGAGGTTTGGATTTAAGGCTACCATGTACAACTGAAACACCCTAATTGATTTTGTTTTTAGAGACCAATGGAACATGCACATTTTAAGCATGTATATTTTTAGTTAAATATTTATATAACATACAAATCACATAATTTTAATGTAAAAATATTTTAGGTATTTCTGCTGCCTCTCTGGGATGTAGCAAATGTGTGTTTCCTTTTTGTCCTGGCAGCTCTTTCCCTTTAATATGCTTATACATTCTGTCTGTGCTGTGCTGCACAGCACAGACAAAAGGGACTGCCAATTAACAGGTGAAATATATTCCCATTTTGACTACCAACAGGAAAACTATGAGGCCAATTGCATGACATCTATTTTAATACTTACTTAGGGGGAAATCCTTGAAATCACAAGATAAGAAATAATAGGGTACAGCTAATAAGTCTATAGCAGTTGGGTTCCCCACTTTTCTTCACTTGAGAAACAATTTGTAACAGAATGTTGTGCAGCTGCCTTAAAAATGTAAATTTCTATATTAGGGCAAAGACTTCAATACCCACTTTAGGGGAAGGTGTATAGAAAATTTAGCTTTGCACACAATTTTTGAAATATATGGATAGGAAGTATTATGCCTATACAAAGTAGGAAGAAAAATACAGGGAGCATTTGTCTCTAAAATTTACATTTGCGGTCAATACAGTCCTTTTGTGATATATAAATGAAATGGGCCAGTGTTATTTAAACAAGTACTCTGCAGAGGTCTACAAAGTTGCTATATAAGAAACTTCAGGAAAGAGGTAGAGAGGAAATATGTAAATGTCCACACAATTCAACATAACAGCAGGGAATGGTTCATCATCCTAACTTATAAGAGTTTCAAGGTCAGAGTGTAGGAAACATCTCATTTTTTTACCCTGTTTGAATTTTCTATTTGAAATTTTGAGCTGACATCTGGCAGTTGCATTGGAGAACTTAGTAACAATATTACAGCGCCATGGAAATAAACTGTTAATTCTATATAGACCAATTTAACAAAAAATGCTAAATTCCTATTTGGAGATACATTATTTGTTGACTAATAGGGGAAGACATTATGATGAGACATTATGATTCCATTTCCTTACATTGCTTTCATTCAAGCAACATGAGAACTAAAACAGTAAGCAAGAAGGTTCAGTATTAAATCATTTGATTGAAAGCAAAACTGGGCCTCAGAACTTCCATTTTACCTGTAAAATGATACTGTTTTGAAACTCTTCTACAGGTGCCACTAAATGTCTTTTGCCTTACCCGCATCAGGGATTATCCTCTCCTCCCGAGCTCAAAGCTGCACATAAATTCTGTAAAACCTTCTCACCCCAAGCCAGCATAATCATAGATCTAAGTTTATTAGGAATAAATAGCTCACTGCACAAAATAGTGTTGGTTAGACAAGCTCTGTGTTGACGAGTGTGAAAAAATTGCATTTTTATCATTAGGAAATCCAGTTATTTTTACGCACACTAACTCTTACAAATACTTCTTTAAGCAACCAATAGACTCTCCTCCCCAAAAAAACAAATGTCACTGAAATGCCAAAAAGTAGTTTTTTAGTTATGCTATATGAAGTTTTTTGTTTCAATACATTTATCTGTCTTTTTTTTAAAAAAATTGGAAGCTTTGCCCTTCATGTTTTATTCAAATCTTTACATTCAACTACAGTTCTTTTAACATACTTGATTTCCTGAAACCTGTCTGAATGTACAAGTCATGGAAATACCACTTTAACGAGTCACATAAAATCGCTATATGTATGTAGCAGGGAAAATGTCTTTCATTTGTTCAAGTATCAACTGTTGTAATTTTTTTTCCTGAGCTTTTTTTTTTTTTTTTGCTTTTATGTTTAAAATTCTTTATGGCTTTATAAATAAAAATAATCTAGTCTGTCTATTCAAAAATTGACAACTAGAGAATATAATCCTATAAACTAAGTTGTTACATGCTTCTTTATTAGAATGCTTTTTCCATATTGTAAAGTACCACCATTATGTGAACACAGAATATGTAACAGCCAGTCACCTATCAATCTCAGCTAGAACAGGCTGGTTTCAGGACCTCATCATACGCAACCCCCCTTTGGGATTTTTAAACACTTCTAAAACCGTTCAAATACAAAGTACCACGGAGCCCATCACATGACACAAACAGACTTCTGCCTGTCCATGATGCTTCAACAGTGAACTGTTTTAAAAGTGTTTCGAAACAGGAAGGGGGGGGGGAGAAACTGTCCTATGAGCTCAGGATTCATACAGAAACAGCACTTTCTTATACGTGTGATGGGATCTGTCAGATTCTTCCATGTTGAATTATTCGGTGACGTGGGGGAATGGATGCTCCTATGGGTGGTGTCCTGCCAAGCACTTATGCCCCACTTATCTTCCAAAATCCTGCTGCATGATCCTTGTATGGAATTTTTTAATTAACTTATTCAGCAAGAATAGCACAATTTCTAGAGATCTCTCCTTTGCTCTCACTTATTTTTTTTCTTTGGTTTACGAAATTCCATTTTTGCTGCCTTTTAAATCCTGCCTTAAATTTGAACAAACAATTTTAAGTGTTCATATCACTTCATTTCCAAAATTAATGTTTCAATACTGATAATTACATTTCGTGGTACATACCCTGCTTTATTTAAAAAAAAAAAGCAGGTGGGGATTACACTCACTCAAGCAATAGCTCAAAAATGGATTTCAGAAGAAAGGCTACAAATTAAGAATGTAGGATGCATTATGAGAAATTATATAATGTGTTTCTAAATGAAGTGGGATGAAACGCCACAGTAAGAAGACGTTTCCGACCACTTTCAGAGAATAATGGGATGGAGTCCTCAGTTAATCTATTGGAGACTATAACTGGATTTAACCAAGTAATGAGCAAAGTGTGACCTTCCAGCTCTAGTTGGAACAGCAACTCCTAACATCTTTTAACATTGGATCTACTGTTCAGTATTGATGGGGACTGTAGTCCAACTACAGCTAAAGGGCCGTATTTGCCAACCTCCGAATAAACAAAAGAAAAATAACCTATTTTTGAGCCAGAATAAAATTTGTATTCTTTAAAGATGTGAACCCCAATACCATTTCTGCAGGAACATTAATGCAGCACTTGAGGTAAGTGCTTCATGCTATGGAGTCTATGTTGATTGCTCTAATCAAATACTGGGATGTGTAAAGTCACAAAGGAATAAAGTTTATTTTTATTTTAGAAAAAAAAAAACAGCAGATGAAAGCTGTTCTTCTCTAGTAGTCTCCTTGGAAGTACTTCCTCAGCGATTGGAGCATCACCCTTTCTACTTGTCAGCATTCCACCACCTCATACCAAAATGTACTCCCAAACAGGCCAATGTTGATGTAAACACATGTATTACAGCCAAATATGGTGCGATTCTGACATTAAAGAGTCTGCATGGTCTGGGCAGAAAACCAAGTACATGTATTCATAGTTATTTGCAAGCACCACTCAGTCCCCAGGCTATACTCCATGCAGAAAACTGCTCTACTCCCAGATTTTTAAAATGTCATTTTTTGGCAGAAAGCTTACCAATTTAGCTCTAGCAAACATGTTTTCCTACTTCCCAGAGCATAAAGAGGAAACCAGAGCTAATTAATTTTACATGTGCCATATCCCTCATACAATACACAGTTTTTCTAGGCTTCTGAGTATCCTCTTATCCATGGTGGCTTTTACAAACCAAATAAAATAGCCAATCACAACAGGAAAAGACAAAAAAAGGTCGAAAATGTTTACTGCAATTTCACCTTTTATGATCACAAAATCCTTTCTGGATTGAGAGAGGTGTAGAAAACATACACACAAACAAATCCTCTAGACATTCAGGGGATCCACAAAAGCTGAAATAAATGCTATGAGCTTTTACAGTTAAAACAAGGAAACAGTAAGTCATAAGGACAGTCAGACAGTGGTATCATCTGTGTAGAGGAAGTAAGTGTGACATGGACAGATCTGATGATTGGTGAGACATAGATCTTGTGAATCTAAGCCCCCAACAAATTAAACACCACCACCCAATCCAAGGACAGTGCCGAAGCCAAGAGCAAACAAGAAGGGCCAAGTGGGAAATGGAGTGGCGGCAGAGAGAACCCAATTGCCAGTGGGAACATCTCTGAGTGCATTGAGGTCTCCACCATTAACTCCAATGACCCACAGGAGCCCATTGCCAACTACACCACTGCATCCACACCTGGCTCAAACAGACAAAAGCTGAATGTCAGGTAATACAACTCCCATTATCCTCCGGGACAGCTGGCATGGAGGATGCTGATAGCTGAAGCCTAAGCATTTATTTACTTCTCAATTTTCTACAAATGTGAAAACCTTGGAAAAACAACTTTAAATATTCGATGCAATTTAGGTTTATAAATCTTTGAGCTATGTTTTGATGGTCAAGGGCAACAAAAACATTTAAAGGAAGTCCACGATAAATAAAAGGTTAAGAACCACTGTCTTCTTGATTCTCTTGAGCAATAACTGCCATAAAAGAGGGGAGGAGGCGATGCACACAAACAGCTCAATTCTTTTACCTACAGTGAAAATGGGAAACGGATAATACTGCTGGACATATTATGGGAAGACTTCAAGAGACAGTTTACCTTCAATGTTTCCATGAAACTGGAAAAACTACCACTATTTTAAGATGCCTCCCCTCGCAGGCATGTATGTGCAGTCTCTGCTGCTGCAAAAAATCTCCTGCATTGTTGTTCTTCTCATCGTTTTCCTCTTCTTCATCTCCTTTCCTGGCCATCTGTCTTTTCTGCCTTGCACCACAAATCTGCCTCACTCCAAGGCCTATCCTGCTGCCCCCTGCTTCCCCCAACATTGCCACCGTTTCCACTTCTCAGTTGTTTCCCCCCCCCCCCCATATTAAATGTTGAAAGGTCACCATGGATCTTTTGAAGTTAAGAATATTTATTAAAAATTATTCTACTCTAGTGTACATACATAAAATGGAATGCAAAACAAACTTACTGCATATCACTTCCCTAATCCCTACAAGGGAACTGTAAAATCTGAAAGTTATTCAGCTACCTACAAGTGGTTTTTCCTAGACAACCATCAAATGGCACATCACCACACTGTGTATACGCAGTGACAAGTCACTGCAATCTGACTGCCTGTGCAGCACTGCAGGCTAACAACTTTCACAGAACTATAAAACATTTCAAGAAAACACTGGACAATAGTGTAGCTTGCCTAGTAGCAGGCACCAATATTCATTGTCCAAGAACGGTTAACTTTGGTAGTTTGATTTTGATAGCATAGTGGAATTAATTCTGTTGGTTTTGGAAATAATTTCCATTAACGAGCATAACCTTTGTTATCTGGCTATAAGAAGGGTTTAAATACGTCTCTTAATGCCTCAACCAAGCCTTTATTATGCCATCAGAATGTATCTTTAGTGAGCAAAGTTCTCAGCGTTTGCTGGGCAGTTGGGCCACCAACAAAATCCTAAACAATTCTTCCAATGAGTTTTCTGGGATATCCTGTAGTTCTTAGAAGCCACTGGTCTATGAATAAAATAGGCTTCATTAATTCTGTTTCAGAAAACTTTTGTAAGTGGTTTTATTTACAATGTCAGATGTTTCGGAAATCCTACATATTTTAATCTTACAGTGACACATTTAAAAGCATGGAAAGACTAATTTTGCAGCAGTGCTAATTGCCATACAGAGTCCACACTTAGTTTTGTTTTATTCAGAGCAGAGGAAAAGGTATCAGATTACACTGGTAAAAACTAAACCATAGGATTTGAATCTATATTTCAAACATTACACATGCAAAGGGAACAACACCCGACTAGTACAACTTCATTTGCTGTTGCAGTTGTCTAATATTAACAATTATAAACAGAGCAGTGCAACCAGTATTTGGAACGATCCTTACAGTGTCACTGGGTGTCAGGCACAAGACTTCACTTCTCTTCACACCACTGGTTCTCTTTGCGTACCTAAAAACAGAACATTTTGAGAATTTAATTCACATTTTTCAATGTTTCAGAAGCTGTCTAAAGCAACAAATGAGAACACCTCATTCAAATACTCATCCTACAGCATTATTGTCTAAGATGGGAAATAGCAAATTTCCTGTACATGTTCAATTGAAACATTTAACCAAATAAACTACTTTGCACTAGATGAGAGCCAAAAACATGAACATAGATCCAACATAGGCATTCCTCTGAAGAAGCAATTAGAGTTAAACTAGAAATGAGTGAGTTCTGTTATGTGATGTAATTAATTCATGCTACCATGAACATAAAACTAGGTAGACTCGGGTAACATAAATATGCTGGAAACTTTAGCTGTGGGCTGCCCGCATTACTTGTAACTTTTATATAGAAATATACCACAATCGAAGCCAGACTTTGCCAAAGTACTGCACTTGTGGCAACAAAGCCTTGCCATGGACTGTACACATTAGCCTGAAGGAGATAACCAAGTAAGTTCTTCAGAGTTTAGTGGGATTAATTTCCATGTATTTACCTATCATATATACACTCTGTAAAGGAAAAACAAATTAGCAGTCAGGAGCATCCCCATATCCCCCCCCCCCCCTTCAATCAGTACTATCTTCGGGTTGCCCTGGCAGCAGCTTTGCTCAGATGACTGCTACTAGAGGAGACAGCTTGATTTGTTGTAAAGATAGCCACAACTGCATGACAGGCTGGCTGGCAACAACAACAAGGGGCCCCTATGCCTTCTCTCCTTTTCCCTACCAAACACAGCATGAGGCTATAGTGATGTAATGCTGTATGTAATTCAGTAGCTATATACACTGGCATGAAGGTTTGCTTTTCTAGTCCAAATGTTCGAGTCAACCAGATAGCAAGCCAGCTCTTCTTACAGCGATGATATTCCCCCTGCCATCTAAGCTCTTCGTATATCAGCCTCCACTCCCTCCACTGGCAAGCAACCTGGTTAAACCTATTCAGTACACACTGGCCTACTTTAGGACAGCCCCTCCCAAAGGTGCCCCCCAGGATTTTTGTACCTCTTTATTTTCCTGAGTTTCAGTCATGGAAAAGTGGTTCTCTTGACCATATGAGAAATACTCATTTCATAACTGTGGAAGTGGGATTTTTTTTTTACTTCAAACTTGGGGCAGGGAGTAGACTGCAGGAGTATTACCAAAATGTTTAATTTCCTAAGTGGTCAACCAGGAATATTATAGGCTTGAGCATGAAAGTTCTCATTTTGAGCTCAAGCACAGAAATGTTTGTTAGGTAGCTTTAAGCTCATCACTTTGTTAAGTGTCATCCTCCACTGAAAGTTTAGGAATAATAGTTTACATTCTTTGTTGAAACAAACAAGGGTCAAGATTTTGATAAATAATATAACCAAGATCTATGAAGAACAGCTTGAGAAACTGGGAATGTTTAGATAGGAGAAGAGACTACTAAGAGCTAACAATATTCTTTGAAAATCCAATGGGACATAAGGTAAAAGATGAAGCTTGTCTTCAACTTCTCTAGACGCTAGAACCTAAACCAATAAATTACAATTACAAGAAAAAGAAAATATGTGAAGCTCTAGCTTGGGATTTTTGCTGGATTGATGTCATAGGAAATCTTCTCTACAATTGGCACCCCTTCTGTTTTTTCAACTGTAAACAGCTTTAAGTCAAAAACTTCCTAATAGCAATGCTAACCAGACTTAACACTTTCATCATAGTACATGCTCCAACCACATTAACTAGGTTAATGGCTAAATTCTAAATGGAATAGACTGTTACTCATCATGAATCCAAAAGCAGTTTTGACACTACTGTACTCTAAAACACGCAAAATGTCCTCCTAAACAACTTGGTATTTGCTATTTTAAAGGACCTATGCATATGCTGTGAACTTTTTTAACCATTACACTTAATTTGAAGTTACTACAGGCAACGTATTTAGCCATGCACACAATATATTAAAGGGTAAATACTCCAAAGATACTATATATCATCTTGGAAACTAAGAAGGGTTATCTCTGATGAGCACTTAGATAGGAGACCACTATAGGCTATAATTCAGACAAAGGAACTAGTAAAAAAATCTACTCCTTCCTTAAGAGAACACTATGAAATGCATTACATTGACAGGCAACTTAAAGGCATACATACGCTGCTTACTGAACACTTATACAGCATTTTGGTTTGGCATTTTACTATTTTTAAATAATGTATACAACCTTTTACATATGAATGCAACATACAAACACCCAATTCATATTATAAGTGCTGTGTATCAATTTACTTTTAGGATAATTATAAGAACCCCCAAAAGGCTAAAGTAATTTATGGGTAGAATGTTGTATAGAACAACATTCTTGTTATGTAAAGCAACAATGCCACAAATTTGTTATATCAGTAGGCAACACATCCTGGGGGGGGGGGGGGGTTAAAGCAATATTGGAAGTATAGATAAAATGTTAAGGAAACCAATTTACCTGGGCTTCCTCTTCTTCAGTGAAGTCATTCTTGATATTGAAGGTCTTGCGGATTTCTTCTGGTGTTTTTCCCTTAATCATATTTGCAACAGTTTTGCATGTCACATCCAACAAGCCTTTGATGTCTAAGTAGTTTGCAGCCTTTAAGAAAAAGATGTAACGTCGTGCACTTACTAATCTACTCCAAAATACACTTCATTAACAGACTATTATGTATAATAGCAACCAACAGAAATAATGTAAAAATATCTAAATAAATTATAGGACACACATTCACTAATATACTGAACTGAAAGTTCTTGCCGGCTAATGCCCAAAACCACTTTAGGAAAGAACCAAAAAGTGGCAAGAAAAAGCCAAAACTCAGGGAAGCCCAATAAAAATTGCAATGTTTGCATCAGATGCCAGTTCATTAATTTTACTTGTGGGTTCAAAGAGACAAACTTCATTGAGCATTGTGTTCTCCAGCTACAAACTTGTGCTTTTCAGTCTATTTTACCTGCTAAAAGTTAATTTCTGCTTATTTTGCATACAGACATGCTGCACTTTTAGAACCATTGTAACAGTATTTCAACATTGCCCTTTTAGATTTATAAGATTGTTTTACCAAGAATGAAAGGACACTGCAAAACAAAGCTGCTATGGTAGATAAACATTTCCATCGCCTTACACTATTTGACAAAGTTCAATATAACTGTGTAGCATATAACAGGATATATACAAATCCCACCTACCAAAATTAGTTCAAAGAGAGTTCCTTGGTCTACTTTAAGAAATTCTTGGTCCCACACAGGGATGTCATCTGTTCGTTTCTCTTTGTTCTCATCATCTTCAGGGGGAGGTGGGTCATCTTTATGATGAGTGCACCACTGGATCACCTTAAGAAATGGAAGTAAATTATTTTGTTAAAAGTTTTGGTGCTGTTATGTTTAGTAGGCATTTGTCCATAATCACTGTTGAGTACAATTACATTATTATTGGTCATCTGTGCATGTTTTACTCATTTAAACAGATGGTATTGCCTTTTTCAAGCATTCTAGCTGCTACAATCCTCAGTACTAGACTCTCAGGAGAGCAAGAACTGACAACACAAAAAGCACAAATTTTCAGATGTTATGAAACAGATTTTCAGCATTACTCTCTCAGGCCCCTTCTACACAGCTGTATAAAAATCCTAGAATATAGGGCCTCCACTTCAAAGCAGATAATGTGGGTTTTCTGCTTTAATAACCTGGATTATCTGGCAATGTAGAAGGGGCCTTAGTTTCAATCTTATATGCCATGTGAAGAGTTGGCAGCTTCAGTGGAAGCAAAAATCTTACAAGTAGGGGAGGAACCCATCCTTGAGGAGGAAGGCACAAAGCGGATCAGTGTATACTGAGTATGACAGAGCAATGACAAGGTTCGTGTGGGAATGGACACAGATATATTAAACAGAGCAACAACAACAAAAATATTAATATTGTGCTATGATAATAATATAATATATTGTATTTACTTTTTACTTGTAAGCCGCTGAGTCCCCTTCAGGGTGAGAAGGGCGGCATATAAATGTCGTAAATGAATAAATAAATAACCCTGACAGAACAGCTGACAGAAATGTTGTCATATCTCAAACTTAGCTGTTATCCAAGGCAGGACTAATTAAATCCTGAAATGTCTATATGCCCAAATTGTCAAGGACATTAGATGGGAATTAATGCAGGTGTATGTTCGATGTGCTTGTCAACGAAGTAATGAAAGTCATATGCTAAACTCCGATTCTAGGAATACTCAGACCACTTTATTTTTTCTGAAGTAGCATATGGCAGATATATTAAATTAGGAGTAGATGGGAAATTCAGTCTACACTTCCTAAATCTAATGGACTAAATGAAATTTTGATTACAAGTCTATATTTTTCTGATGTTTGTAATCTGCACACAGAATCATTTTAAGTTAATTTTAAGGGGGAAAAAACTTATGTGCAATGTGTGGTTTTGAAAAAATACAGACAAACATAATGTGCACATTTTTAAAAGTAAATACACAAAAATCTTTGTGTGGACCAAAAAGTAACTTGCAGTCTAATGTAGAAAAAGCAGAGAATAAGCAATGAAAAAACAGAATCTGAGGGATATAAAAGTCTGACAGATTCCTCAATCCCTAGCCTGAAGGGATGATCCACTGAATACAACATCCAAATCTTATCCTGTGCAATGGAAAAATCTGCTGTGTACATGAGAAACTTGAAAACATAAAGTAAGATGCATGCAGCAGCAAAGCAAGGCCCTGCTGGATGCATAAAAGGTTTTAGCAAGAACATGTTAAGAATAGAAGAGGGAGCTTTCTTGTGCTTTACCATATACTGTTGGCACTGCGTGTGCAAATCAGTGCAGAATGTACAGCCAGAATGACTAGAATATGGACACCAGATTAGAAATCAAGTATGTATTTTTATTTTATATCTACAGAGCTATATACTATTATATATTTGCGTGACAAAAACAAATATATATCCCACACAACCACTACACAGTAGCAAAAAAAATCTTCAGGAAGTATTAAGTTAGCTTTTCCATATAACCTTTTTCTTTCTCCTGCTCTTTCTCCATACTACCTTGGGAAAATAGCTCTACAATTAACAACATTAACCGTTTGAAAGCCGATACTGTATAAGTTAGTCACCAACAATGGAATAGTTTTAACAGTTTACCTTTTTTAATATGGCTGCATTAACATTTGGAAGAGGAACAGGATCGTCATCCCCTTCATCATCCATCCCCAAATCTGGGAATAGAAAGAAGCAAATTCAGATAATGAGAACACTTGCACTTCATTCCACTGCAATTAGGTGGTACTGAGACTCAGTTCATGATTTACATTTACCTACGTTTTAATTTAAAAGTCATTTTCCCCGAACATGCTTACATTTTTAATGTGAAAAAATGTGAAAAAAAGTTTATGCAAAGGAGACTCCCTGCTGAGGAGAACAGAAGCAACGGTTTGTGGAACTGGCAGGATGACTCAATGGGTGTACTATCTCCCTGGGGCAAAAAAAACCTCCTCAAGCCTTACCTCTTATCTCTTTCTTTTTGTCCTTGTGGGAACCAGTGACATTATAGTCATATTTAAACATTTGTTAGGATGTCATATTGAAAATGGAGCAAGCTTGTGTTCTACTGCTCTAAAGATTAAGACATGGAGCAATGGATTCAAATCGCAGAAAAGATATTCCATCTAAACATTAGGAAGAACTTCCTGGTGGCAAGCGCTGTTTGGAAGTGGAATATGCTGCCTCAGAGTGTGGTGGCATTGCCTTCTCTAGCAGTTTTAAAGATGAAGGATGGTCATCTGTCACAGGTCATTTGACTTTTTCAGCATGGTAGAGGGTTAGACTGGATAGTCCTTGTGGCTTCTTTCAACTCCATAAATCTATATTATTATTATTTTGTTTTTATCTCTAAACTGAGATCATTAAAAAAACAGTGCGCTTCAAAATCTACAACATACAAATATTAAATCTGTGGTACTCAATAAGAACATGTATTTTTGTTCATTCTATTTGTGCATTTAATACTAATTTACATAGTTATACTAAGCAAGAGTAATAAACACATTTTCCCAAAGACTTCAAACAATGACATTTTACATTATACCTTACATCTGATAAAAAGGATTGCAGTTCATGAAAGCTTATCACACCGGAAGTGAAGGTTTCTGATGTGCCAAAAGGCTTGGGGTTTTGTTTTGTTTTTTGGTTTTTTTTTTTTTTTTTTGCTGCAATAGACACTGGCTGACATCCAATTGTAATGCAGCAAAGCATAAAGCTCTGCCAGTATTACAAACTTGGTCTTCCCCATTCTGTGGCTGCACAATATTATAGGCTGCACAATATCACTTGATCTGCAGTTGAACTTGTTGTGCAGTCAAGGCATTGTGCAAGAAGGTATTCAGCACCTAATTCCTCATCATCCCAATAAAGTACAAGAGGATTCCAGGCCCAATAAAGCTATCCTTCTGGTAACAATATCTTTAGACAACTTACAACACACTGTATTGCTTGAACAATTAACAAAGGAAACCTGCTGCTGTATTTTGGTTTGTAAATTCTCCTTCCAAAACCAATCAGCCTGATCATACATCTATTTACATGGAAGTAATTACCTGTGTCATGGAAAGTAATGTAATTCAGTAGGATCCCAGTTCATGTTGTTTACTTTTCATGCTACTTTTTTGCCCTAAAGAGAAAAAACTACTGCTGTACCTCACTAATCACACATTTGCAAAGCTTTTTTTTCTATTCAGTTCAGTAGCAGCTACAGTAAAATATGCTGCTCCCCTGACAAAACTATTTCTTCGTGAACAAGGTCCTCAATAGTCAAAGGCAACAAACCAATTCGGAAAACACTTTCAGCTTCTGGTTACTGCTCTCTTGGAAAGCACATGTCGTAAAATTAAATGTCATCATCCTGTCACTACTATGGACATTGCGAAATATAAGCAGCACTGAACTCAATGGAACTTAAGCTGTAAACAAATATCAATTCCTCTAGTCATCATCTCAGCTTCCCCACTCAAGATGTGACACATACATCATATAAGGATTCAATACAAGTCAAATAGCACATCACACAATATATAACAGGTCAAGGAGGAAGAAAAGGGTCTTAAAATCCTTTTTACATGTGAACAGCAACAGAGGTACTTTCAACAATCCCCCCCCCCCCCGAGAGAAACACAAATATGCATAGGGAGAGAACCCAACGTCTTCCGCTGTTTATGGAGAGGAAATGGAAGTACAATTTCATGGGAACATGAGATCTCACAGTAATTTCATAAGTTATCTACTCCAACCAGTGTTGGAGTCCACTGCTACAGACATCCCCAACAGAGAGTTTTAAAAGCAGATGTTGAGGAGAGACCTAAAGAACAATCTATCACCTCACATAGCAGAATAGTTTTAATCTGAGTGGAGTCAATTTTTAATACATAATAATTTAATTCAGAACATGACTCCTGTTAAAAAGTGTCTTTCTATATCAGAGTTCCTATTTAACCAAGGCAGAATGGCTGTAATACATCTAAATAAAGAACAGGTCACTGTGATGTCAATAAAACAATTCTGAAGCTTGCCGCCAAACAGTTTAATTTTATAAACATGGCTCTGAGGGTCCTTCCAGACAGGCCCTATATCCCAAGATGTGATCCTAGGTTTTCTGTTTATCCCAGATTATCTGGCAGTACAGACTCATATAATCCATTTTAAAATAAAACCTGGGAGTTTACATCAATATGGCTATCCATGCTGCACCATTACATCCGTTATAATGACCAAAGGCCTATTAGACCTAAACACTTCTGAGCTCATACAAAGCCTCTGCCATTAGTAATGCAGTCTAAATGCAGACCAACACACTAACGTTCTACTATGAAGAGAAAGCTATTCAACAGTGATTTCAAACATCACATGCATCTGGCTAGATTAAGAGATTTAGATATATATCTTGCCTTTTCACCCCGGCTATGGAACTCCCTCCCTGCTGAAATAAGACAGGCGCCTTCCCTCATGGCCTTCCGCAAGGGCCTGAAAACCTGGCTCTTCGAAAAGGCCTTCAATTAAGTGCTATGTTTTTGGAATGACCACCGGAATGGACCATGACTATGAGACTGGTTATGACCCCAAACAAGACGAAGCGGATTTTTAGTTTAATTAGTTGTGTACTCGTGCGATGTTGTGTTATGGTCTCGATTTATTGTAAACTGTTGTCTTTCTATGTTCTATGTTTTGTACACCGCCACGAGTCGCCCTCGGGCTGAGAGTGGCGGTTAACAAGTGCAAATAATAAATAAATAAATAAATAAATAATAGGCACCAAGGTGGCAACAATGAAATTCATATAAAAATACAATTAACACATAAATACAAATGTAAAACAGATATTTCCCTATCCCTGGTTATTTTCACTATTTTATGCCTGACCAATTTGATTTCCCTGCAAAACAAACACTAAATTGATATAAAAATAACAAGTTCTTCATAAAAATACCACTATATAAACAAAGGTTTGAAAAATAAAAGGCAACAAAAATCTAGGAAGCAGCCTTTTAAGATTTCTCGAGCTCAATTTCCAAGGATTATAAACAGTTTGCTTTATATAAAGACCATCTGGCTAGGTTCTACAGCTACTTTTTCATTTGCTGACAATCTAAGTTAAGCCTTAATCTTGCAAAATTTCACCCATTCCAAAGAGTGTTAATTCCCCTCAAAACATTTCTCACTTTACAAAGGCTCAAAACATAAACTGAACAGGGATGGTGGTATCCATCCCTACATGCTATTTACAAACTCAAATGTTGAAAAGCTACACTGGTTAAAATATCTTCACTATGTATTCACATGTGTACACTTTTCCAGTCCCAGTTAAAAACAAAAATGTCATGACTCTTGTATTGGCAAGCACATATGTCATCTGGCTTCTTTGAACAACCTTCTGTTCAAGTGACTGCTCTCCAGCCCTAACTGGATATATTGATCGTTCAAACTGCTTAGGCTCCTGATTGTGGGCTGCTTCTGAGAAATCCTTTGATATTTCAATTTGGGAACAACAAATCATCAGAATAATGTATATATAGAAGTCATTCTAGCACTTTTACTTTGAATGTTGAAAATGACTACATGACGATAGTCACTAAATCTTTGTGTTTCATAAATTATGTGTCCTGTGAATAAATATCCCCCCATCTGTCCTGACATTAATAAATGCATATTCTTGGCACAGGAAGAATGGCTGATTATATATTTTAACAAACCATTCTGAATTTTATAAATTTTAACCTATCTTCATCCACAAAAGCACTGCAAAAGTTTCTAGAGCTTTCCAAATTAGAAAACAAAGTTATCAAAGGGAAGGAACTCCAAGCCTTGAACATTTTAATTGCCATCTCCTGCATCATTTCGGTACTAAAATAATGTAAATTGGTAAGGGGTTCACCACTTTACTAACCTTAGGGCCCCAACCAAAACCACAGCCAGACTTGTGGCATTTCACACTGGTGTGTTTTAATATACCATGGAAACTGCCCCTCTCCTTCAAGAGAAGGAAGTGGAGCATGTTAGTTTGGCTGCTCTTCAGTTCTGACTCTTCATGTTATATCAGTCACAAAGGAACAAAGCGATTTTTATCTCCCTTTTCTGCCCTGGCCATGTATGGGCAACGACTGCTCTGGGTGCCCTGGCCAAACAGATGTTGAAGATCCCTACCTTGGAACTAAGTAATGGGTGAGGATTACCAGGCAACTGCTAAAATTATTCTCTCCATCCATCAATCGGACTCAAGGTTGGGGGAAAGGACTGTCTTGTCTAAGAAAACTTTATGAAATTCATGTGGCTGTCATATTTATGATGGGGCAGCAAAAATACTATATTTACACTATTCTAATGTGCACCTCTTTTTGGAAGGGGTGCTAAATGGCCCTGCCAAAATTGGGATGTGCATTAGATTGACATAAAACTCCTTAGGGGCTGGCTAAGCAACCGGCGAAGGGACCGGCCTGCAAAGGGCGAGTTGGATAAATGGCTGGTGAAGGGCTAGCCGACAAAGAGGTGATTTGGCTAAGCGGCCTGCAAAGGGGCGAGCCAGCAAAGCAACTGGCAAAGAACAAAGTGGCAAATTGGTGAGTGGCCACAGGAACCAAGGACGAAGAGGCAAAGGTGGCCACAAAGGCAGCATTTGAACCCATTGCTCCAAGTGCTGCCCTTGAGATTAGGATTTGGAGCAATGGGTTCAAATTACAAGAAAGGAGATTCCACCTGAACATTAGGAAGAACTTCTTGACCATACGAGCTGTTCAGCAGTGAATTCCCTGCCTCAGAGTGTGGTGGAAGCGCCTTCTTTGGAGGCTTTTAAACAGAGGCTGAATGACCATCTGTCAGGGGTGCTTTGATTGTGCTTTTCCTGTATAGAATGGGTTGGATTGGATGGCTCTTCCAACTCTGAGAATCTATGAACTGAAGCAAAGGCCTTAAAGCTAATGCTTTTTCTCACTTGGAACAAGTTTTTACCTTACCAACAATCATAGGAAAACTGCAGGAAAAAGCTATACCTTACTTATTATAGTGCCAGAGTGTGGATTCTATGGTGGCAAAACAATCATGAGTTTCTGATACTCAGCAGAGCAGCAGTAGGCTCTAAGTCACCTATTCCTTGATTAGGTGACTTGTGTTACACTGAAGCAAGTTACTTTGGGAGTGCTGGAGTAGCCACCCATCCCAGCAGCCTACTTCTCTCGTTGCCACTGTTGTCACTTGCTGCTTCTTTTTTTTCTTTGCCAACACTGAAGAAGACTGATTCTTTCTGCTATTATCAACTCCTTTAGTTTCAGCATAACTAGACCAGCAGAGGAATAGAATTTAGCTTATAAGCTTAAACAGAAAAAAGGAGTGATAACATCCTGAAGACTAAAAACATTAATTGTGACATAAACTTTTGTGAACACTGCATCCAATGCACAATAGCTGGCAAATATGGTGGCCTTTGGTATCCAATGGTTGGTTGAATGAAGTGGATGTCCACCTGTGAATACTTAAGGGCAGCAGTATACATGAGTGTACACACACATATATGCACAATATTAACAATACCTATTTGAAAGAAGTCAGCAGTTTACTAATATACTTATATATATATATACACACACACACACACACACATACATACACACACTATATATCACAAACTTTCAGTTAGAATTTCAATAATACTTCATTAATTTAGGAACTAATCTATTTCTACTGTGAGAATTTCTGAACCACTTCTTTCCATTGCATCAAGTATCACCACAATGTCCTTACCTTCCAACATGGTCTTTATGGTTACAGACTGTTTTGCAATTTCAACATCAACTTCAAATATTTCTCCATCAGAACTCTGCAGTTTAATTGAAGGCATCTATAAAAGGAAAATAATAGCCAATATTCTTAGAGCCATAGGCTTACATGATAGTCCTGCTTCATATTAACTGACATACTGATATGTCAAGTACAAGAGATTTAAAATTGAGGGTAAGCTGAGATTTTCTGATGTTGCCATACACAAAGTATTTTGAAGTTCTCTTAACACCATGTACAATAATCTTCATACCTCTGAAAAGCAGGGCAATATTATCCCCAAAGTGCAGTTGCAGAGCTGGCCATAGCAATGGCTACTAAAAGTCATATATTGAATTCAAAAGTAAAATATTTTTTAAAGAATTCTACATTGACCTGTGCTTATTCTGTGCCTCCATACTATATCTACAGAGTGTACTAGAGTAAAGTAGGTATATTTAGATAATATTGCAGATAATTTCAATATCTCATTTTAGGTTTGAACAAAAGAATACACTATAGGGACACTAATAAATTGGTTTCTTCTACCTGACTTATCTGTGACCCTTTGATGCTTGCCTTGTTCACTTTAAGCAGTCCTTTGTTACCTGCAGTATGGAGTAGTCCCCTTCAAATAAATAATGTTTGAGTTACAGATTCAAAGAACTATTTGGGTACTTTTACAAAGATTTTATTCCTGGCAAGAACTCTGGATTCCAGTCATCCGGATTTTGTACTAGGCAATCATCCAAGATATGATACTGCAGTTTTAAACAACGTAATGCGTATTTCTTCTCAGCATCAGAGGATGCTGCATCATATTTTGAATTTCTATAATTTGATTAAGACAACAGTTCTAAACCAGTCTTTTGCTTATATACTTTGCAGGGTATCTAGAAGTTCTGAAATTCCTAATTAAAGTGACTTTTTAAAAATACTGAAGCCATGCACAAATTATTATATTTGATCATAATTATTTCTAGCCTGTGATAAAAATATGAAATACTGAACATTACAAGGAGAACATTATTATTTTTGGAGAAGAATGCCTCAGGTTCATGCCATAATAGTAAATACTTCCAACAGCCTTTGTCAAAGGACATTTGCTAACTGCCATTTAACAGGCCTCTTTTTACAGATGATTATTTTGAAACTAATAGTAGATGTGAAAACATTCAACTCTTCAAAAAAATATGATTGGAATATCTGTAAACATCTATGAGTGATGCCAACTCCAGTTCTTTGGACTTCAGATCCCAGAATCTCGGACTAATTGGCCAAGTTGCTGAGGCTGCTGCGATTTGAAGTCCAAAACACTTTAGGAACCAGAAATCACTTACCTAGTTGCACAATGATTATACCAGTCAATCTTAAAACTTTGCAGTTTTTAAATATCGTTTTATTTTTACTTTACTATATATATGCTCCATTACACAAAATATTTTTAAGATTATATTCACATTTTAATTGTGTTGTTTTTAATTGTATTGTGTCATGTTTACTGTTTTGGCATATCAAGAGAAAGGTGGCATAACAATAAACAAAAACATTGAAATCCGACTTTGGGCAGACTCTTGTCAAGAGGACACACTGTACCCAATTGTAGTAATGTTTACGATGACTGATCTAGGTGGAACTATTCAAAACAACTAACTCTCGATCCAACCAACTACCTCAGTGATAAATATAAATTATTACAATTATGTTTATTTATATACCACTGGCTCAAAGCCTTGGCAGGGTTATTTAATATTAAAACTATCGCCATTTAAATATATATATTAAAAATATTAAGCAGTTCCAGAATATATGTCTAGAGTGACTAAGCAAGTATTCTCTATAGTAAACAAGACGGTACTTCTGGCAATAACATATTTGGTTGGCCCTGAATCTTCCCAACTACATACAGAGAGGAGGAGCTACTTGGAAAACTCAGGACTCAATCCCTTCACGGAAATACTGGGCAGGGATTACATCACTGGCGAGGAAGCGAAGAGAGCCATTTTATGATGCTACTGAAAGGTAGGTGATCCCAGATAGAGATATTCTGTATATACACACACGCTTCCCTTAATATAATAGACGACTATAAGATGGGAGGCAAGAGGACATTCCTCTCTGGGGTCCCAGGACAAGGAAGCTAAGAAGGTCGAGGCAGAGAAGGGAAAGGAATCCCGGCTAAGTTCCTAAGTCACCCATCCTTCCTTTCTCCTTTCCCTTCGTCGGAGGCGGGAGGCCTCTCCCTTAGCAACCACCTGCGCGGAGCCTCCGCGCCGCCGCCCTCGCCTCACCGTCTCCTCGGCTCCCCAGCCTCCCCAAGCCAAACCCGTGTGGAGTGAGGCCTACTCCCGGACCAGGCCTCAGCCTCGCTCACCGTGAACGCAGCTGCGGCAGCAACGCCTCGTAGCTCCACCCGCCTCGACACTAAACCCTAGCGCGCTCAGGTCGCGCGCCGCCGCACGCCTTTTATAGTTCTGGGGGCGGGGCGGGATTCGAGGGCCAAGCAGCCGACTCCGCCCCCGAAGGATAGGCGCCTAATGAAAGTGCCTGCGCTGAAGAGAAAGCGGGGCGAGGGGTGGAGGAACAGCGGAAGACGGGCGGGAGGTAGGGGAGAGTCAGGCACTTCCAGGCGCACAGTTTCCCGAAAAAGGGATGAGAGGAAGACGCTGGAAAAGCACGGGAGAGACAGAGGCCCTTCACTTCCTTGGGGACCTTCAGGCAGAATCCGTGGCCGCCTACGTAGGAAACAAACGCTCCCAGGGAAACCGTCGCCTCGCATTGGCGGCCATTCTGGCGCGCGTCATAAACGTAAGGGCGGCGCTGGCCAACCCGACGTGCTTCAGAGCCTGGGCCCTCCCAGGGATTTCCATTCCCACCATTCCCAACAGCCTCAGGGCCTTTCCTTTTCCTCCTCAGCCGCTGAAGCGAAGAGGAAAGGGCTTGGGCCTGTTAGGAAAACACCTGAAGGGCCCACGTTTGCCCTGGCTGCTGTCAGGCCCGAACTCCCCTACTCTTAAAGATACAGGCTCTAAATTATATATCCTGCCTTTGGAGGCAGCATATTAGTAGCATCACTAACTTCGTTTTAACGTAGGAGAACTGTTTAATAATAATAAAACAGGGCATTGAACCGAGCCAACGCTGGATCTGGACCAAACTTGGCACATAGAGCCAATGTGCCCAACAGTGAATACAGGCAGAAATTGGAGAATGATTGCCCTTTTCAAATGGTAGTTGTTGTTTACCTGGATTCAGGAAGCACCGAAGGCAGCCAACATCATATCTGGACCAAACACGGCCAACTGGATTGGGAGTGATTGACCTTGTGTCTGAGAGTTATCCAGAGGGCACTGAACCAAGCAAATGCTGGATCTGGACTAAACTTGGCGCATAGAGCCAATGTGCCCAACTGTTCATAGAGGCATGGATTAGGGAATGATTGTCCCTTTTCAAATGGGAGTTGTTGTTTACCTGGATCCAGAGAGGTCTCAGAAGGCAGTCGACAGGCTCGACTCACGGGCACAAAGGCCTATTGTGGCCTCCGAGTGGTCTGTGGTGCAGCAGCATCCTCTTTGGCGCCAGGGCTGTCAGCGCACTCCCCTGCCTCTCCCGGCACTGAAGGCTGAAACCAGGGGCACYGAAGAGGAAAGTGAGTGCGCCGAGGGCCCAGGCACAGACAAGGACACCACTGCGCCACGTACTTGTAAGGCCTTCTTGCAGACTACCCTGAGAATTTGGGGGGGGGTGAAGCCCCTCAAACCCCCCCCCCCCGGCTACATGCATGGTTGCTGTAGTAGCTGCGAGCTCACTTGCACCTGTGGGCTGTTGCCCCTCATTTGAGCAGAGAACACATGCGTCTACTTTGATGTGTTCATCCCACAGTATTACCTACATTGTCAGGAATCTGGTATGAGCTGTTCACGCCACAGAAAGCCACGCTTTTTCAGAAGTCGCCCAGAACTTTTGTTCTACAAGTTGTGTGAAGAGCCTTCCAGGCAGACCTTGAAACTGCAAGACCATTAAATGCTAATCAAGGTGGCCAGTTGAAACATTTGCACTTGCCTCAAACAGACATGAGTTATTTCTCCCACCCTGGACATTCCACAGATATATAAACCCCACTTTCCTAGTTTCCAACAAACCTTACAACCTCTGAGGATGCTTGCCATAGATGCAGGCAAAACGTTGGGAGAAAATGCTTCTGGAACAAGACCATACAGCCTGAAAAACTTACAGCAACTCAGTACAGGTATAAATTGAGCATCCCTTATCCAGAATTCTGAAATCCTCCCAAAGCATCGCCTTGGGTAGCTGAGATAGGGGCGCTTGTGCTTTCTAATGGTTCTGATGGTACACATACTTTGTTTCTTGGGCCAAATTATTAAACGTTGTATAGAGTTACTGGGATGAGGAAATTGTGAATAGTTACCAAGTGCTGTAGGCTGCATTTCAGAGGAAGGAACTTGCAAACCCACCTGTGAATATCCGTTACCTAAGAAAACCCAATGAATATGAATATGAAGGGCTCACCATAAGTCTACGGACTTCTTGATGTGTTATGTCTATACAGATATTTTTAAATTGAGGTGGAGGTCAGGATGACTATGCACCACTCCCAGTATGGAAACGGAATGCCTCAATTTATCAGATGGTAGGGGAAATGCAGGCGAAGGTGTGTTATCATGTGAAGTCTTTCACCTTCGGCCTGACTCCAGAGACATTTATTATGCCCAACAAAATAGGCACATAAAGTCCATGCAGCTAAAGCTATTGTACAGCTTTTTCATATTGCCTGGATCCAACTGGCACCTGATACCATTCTATTAGTATTGTGTTTGCTTTCTTATTAGGCCATATTACTGTAATTTCACCCAGGGAGGATCATCTCGGTAAAATTCAAATGACTACTAATTAAAACTCTTAAATTTATGATCTTTTGATTTATCTCTCTCGATTTGAATACCTCTCAGCAGTAAAACACAACTGATTGCCAAATCTGAACCCTTAAAATCTATTTTTTTGATCTGGATAGTTAACTATCAGAGGGAAAAAAAACTCATCTATAGAAAAAGAATCCTATTAATATCCTGTTTCCCTTACACAGCTCTCAAATGCGAAACATCTTCCAGACGGGGAGGGGGAGGGAGGGGTTATTCTTTTTCTCTCTGGCACAGACATGACAGAAAAATCCCTTCTCTGAACATGCTATTAGTATTTAAGTGATGTTCCCTTTGAAATGCAAGTAGCAGCTTCAATTGCACTCTTTTTGCCAGGAGTAGCCATAGGAAGGGAAAGACCTTCAGGTCCCCCATCCACGGTCCTGAAGCTGTGCAGGTTTTCTCATGGCCATTATTTGCACAGTAAAAGGGAAAGGTTTGCTTACCTATAACTGTAGTTCGTCGCGTGGTCATCACACAAAGGGGTCCTGTGTGCAGTGCAAGTTTCAAAACCTTAAAGCCATGCAACCCACCCACCCCCTTTGGGGGGAGCAATAGCTCACCTACTCAGTTCAGGCCATACCACTGTGCTTCCTACCTAACCCTCAACTCCATGGACACCCAAGTAGCAGCATTCAAGGATCTAAAGCAGGGGTCCTTAAACTAAGGCCCGAGGGCCGAATCCGGCCCTCCCAAGGTCATTTACCCGGCCCTCGCTCAGGGTCAACCTAAGTCTGAAATGACTTGAAAGCACATGACAACAACAATCCTATCTCATCAGCCAAAAGCAGGCCCACACTTCCCATTGGAATACTAATAAGAGTATATTTATTAAAATTTGTTCTTTATTTTAATTATTGTATTGTTGTTAAGTATTTTTTGCACTACAAATAAGATATGTGCAGTGTTTTTAGGAATTCATGGGTTTTTTTCAAAATATAATCCGGCCCCCCAACGGTTTGAGGGACTGTGACCTGGCCCTCTGTTTAAAAAGTTTGAGGACCCCTGATCTAAAGGCATGTCAGGACAAGGGATGGATGAGTGGAGGGCTGTATGAATTCAGAGATATGCTTAAATTTTGTTAATTAAATTTTGCCACTCCTTGCAAATAACAGTACATTTCATCAGATAATCCTCCCTAAAATATAGCTGTATGTATACAAACCAAATGAAGACCATTTTATTAAAATATGCCTGAAATATTTTTGGATCCCCTTACTTTAGTTTTGGACTACACTGTAATTGTTATTGTGTAGGAAAAAGATCAAACTTGAATACACTGGGGCACCTCTAGCTGATGAAATGCAAAATGTAAGAGAAGCTGGTGCTGATCCTTGCAAATTCAGGTCAGCCTCTCAAGTCTCTTAACATTTCAAATCTGACAGCATCCAGATTTTTCTTAGGGAATAAATTTAACCATTTAACCAAATCTAACCAGTTGGGTACTCTTCAGCTCTTAAAAAACACACACCTTATGTAAGCCCTGTGACTTCATGCACAATAGTAATATGACATAAAATATCCAATCTGTTTCCAGTCTAATTTGTTTTTGCCTTGGCTTTGTTTAAACAGATCCTTAATATACTCATGTATACCCTGCGTGAGAGTCAGTACGGTGCAGGAGTTTGAGCACTGAAGTGTAACAGATTCTGGAGAACAGGGATCAAATCGCCACATAACCATAGAAACCCATTGGGTTACAGAAACAACCTGAAGGTACATAAACATATCCTTACCAGAGAAAAGTGATAGTTGCATAAATTCTAAAATTAGAGAAAAGTCACACGTTCAGCTTTGTTCTTTAACATATTAAACAAAGACACTCCTTTGCCTAAGGCACAGTATGATTTGCTCAGCAATCACTAGAGTACCAGAAAAACCCAAGGGGGGGGGTGCAATATGGGGATGGCTACAGTCCCTCATAATGCTTTCAAATTCATCTTTCTCAACAACTAATTAGCAACTATGAACCAGAAGTAAATTTCTATTATATATCTGAGACATTTTTCCTTAGAAACTAGTGCTGCATGGAAATTTACTACGTGGAACAGCATGTGTGGTGACTAGGCAAGTTCCACAAATATGTTTAATGTACTGGCAACACAGCATTTGGGGTCTTACATACTTGTTTCATGGCGTCCTCTTCACTTCCAATCTTTAAACATGACAATGAAAAAATGTTATGTTGAGCAACCGGGGACGAATCCTTTTCCTATTAAATAAGAGTTGCTATAATGTGATAAGAGACTGAATTATGAACCTTAATGCAATTTCAAATAATCTGAATAGTAAAGCACTCTTTAAAAGTAATTTGTTGAAACAAGGTTGAAATATAATGTATGTATCCAATTTGAAGTGACAGCAATGAAATATAAGATTGCCCTTTTCTCAAAATTACCATCCTAATGATATAATTTGTGGGAAAATACTAATAGGCAAATGGTTGTCAATGTTATATTTTAATCATACGGAGTCGTAAAACTGTATTTCTCAAGAGTTCTTCACATGCACTTATGTTTATAAAAAACTTATGTTTATAAAAAA